TGTTCACTGCTTATTTGTCTATTTTGTAAGGAATGTCATTCTTGTCTTTTATTCATACATGTGTACATATACACTTCTTCACCACATGACAAGGGGCTTTTTGACAGTTCAGCCAGTATTTTTTTAATGCCTGATGAATTCAAGAACATGTAAAATATTACTTTTACGTGTTAAGATCGACTTCGTACCCATTCTTTTAAAGATGGAGTATATCATTAGTCATTGGTGCATTTTTTTTCTTAAACAACTAACCTGATAGAGTTTTAGTTCAGTGAATTTTGTATATTCCGAGAAAAAAAAATGTTCTAGGTTCTCCATTTCAATTCAAAAGTTGCCGAGTCATGTTTTGAGTTGCGCCCGAAATCAGTGTCAAGTACACGTTCTCATTCAGCCGATTGCAGTTACGCGATGTTACGTGCTGAACTGACAAATTATACATGTTCAATGTAGCATCTGCACGTGCCTGTGCGTTGGGCCAACGCTTGCGCGCACCCATTCACGGCTTCGCCGAATTGAAACCGAATTACTAATGGAAATTTCCAAAAATGCATCTTTAGATGCATTAGGAAATGACCTTCTTTTATTGTATTCTTCAAAATGACAGCATGCCAGAGAGAATAATTTCACAGGGAGTTTATTGCCATTAGTATCTTAAAACCAAGTAAGCTTTTCAACAATAATTTCGTTAGTTACTTTTTGGATAGCTGCAAATTATATACCCGACCTTTATAATGTTGCTATGTACTTGGATGTTTTGAAAAAACAATGTGCAGTGTACCGGTGCAGGCATCCCAGGTTTTTTCTATCAATTTTTACAAATGTACTTAAAATTGTGTAGGGCCTACATGTTAAATAATTCTGACTCTCACAATAAAAACATACAGTATGAAATAATTCAAATAATTAAGGTTATGCTGCCGGTAGTTAATCTTTCTTTAGATTCATTCCCATCTGCATTGATATTTTTTAATGCTATATGTACATAGGGCTGACCCACTTGCACCACACTCATTGTCCAACGGCAGTGCGAGCAGGCTGCCCAGCGCACTGTTCTGCCTTGTTGTCTTGGGGCCACAATTCCTTTCGCTTGGCCTGTTTTCAGCCTGGTCTGCAGGTATGTAAATAACACCACGACAGACGGACTTGCGCCTGTCCCTACCCCCCCCCCCCTTCAGTCAAATGTCTGGCACTCAATTATCCTACCAGAGAGAGAAGGGGGGGTGTACTTTGGTTAATATGGCCAGTTGTAGATGGTTTTGTCCCCTTTATTGACGCTTCATTGAATGCTCTGGCTGGCCCAATTGGTTTGTCTGCAAGTGCAATGTCCAACCCTATATTTTTATCAATTGCCACTCCGGCAATTTTGCCACGTGCGGCTCGCTTGCGCTATTTTCATATTTTTTTTTTCATCGTTTGAGCAGTGGCCGTACGACAAATTAAAAGAGGTTGGATTGATTATTGCTGTAATTGGCTAAATGTCCAATGGATGGCTAACTGTGGGGGGAATTCATGCAGTCGAAGAACGCATTCATTAGATGGTTCAGTAACTGCATTATAGTAACAGTGTACACACTTTTTTTCATTAAATGTTGTTGTTTTGTTATTGTCAGGCCAGGCTTTTAAGTTTTTGTGGTCAAACGGTACCGGTAAGTCTCAGTTTTCTTGTCTTTTGAAGAAAACAAAAGAGCTCAAATTTTAATCTGTCTAACCAATCATTGGAATGTATGTTCATGTAATTTGATGTGGTGATTGCTATGGTTACCTGATGAAAAGGTTTATTTTTAAATGCCAGATTGTTTCTTTCTAATGATCCAATGCATCCTCTTCAGTCAACCAAAAAAGTATTCTCGATCAGACACGATCAACTACCAGCATATCTTATAGAAATAATTATGTAGCTATGTTTGCTTCCCATTCAGAAATGCCTTATGTTTTTTTCCTGTTATTTATTCAATGCCCCTTGAACTGCTGTCCAGTAAAGTCAAAGCCAGTTCAAAGTCAAGCGCTTCTGATAGATAAAAAAAAAAAAAATTTAAAACGAGAATATGAAAATTTTGTGTTAACATTTTTTTTTAAAATTCATTTTCATTTTTTGGGGCGTGGGACTTAATGTTCACATTTGTGAGGCGTTCTAGCAAAATGAGACAGAACGGGGCAGAGGCCATATGAGGGTTTGTGGGTAGGAAAGAGGCTAAACTTCTCCTTACAATACAGTTTGTTGCACTTCAATTGGACATTCTGTTGACAAGTTGTAGCTGTTTAAAACTCGCATTTATCGACATCTCAAAAAAGTAAAATCCTGAGAAAAAGGCCTTTAAAGTTTCGAGTTTTGTATTCGAGAAAATGAAAGATGCCAATTTTTTCCCCTAAAAAGTACGTCCCTAAACCTTACATGAAAACAGTGCTTTGAACACTTTTGTACCGTTTGTTATCCGTTTTTCAAAACTACATGTATGTAATAAATTTGGACCACTGGAAAGTTGCAAGGTAACCTCAAAATGGACATTTTTTGTTTCTCATCACAAAAATGTGGGGGGATAATCCAATGGCCCATGCCCCTGGTCAAAAAGTGGGGGGATATATCCTCCCCACCCCTCCCATACCTACGGAACAAGTGTATGTGGCACGGTGAGGGCGTTGTTTGGGAAGTTTTTTATTATAAGGGAAATAAGGAACGACCCAGTTGTGGGGACTTTCGACAGTCTCCACGTAGTCTAAAGTTGGTCCCCACAGTAACTATCGCACATCAGGTGTGTGCTCCCCACACCTACTGAACAAGTACATGTATGTGTGGCACAGTACGGCCCACTCGTCAGGAGAGCAAAAATAATGAAATACATGTGCCCGCGCACCCTAATAGTTTAAATGTGAGAATAGCACAGAGCACATGCACACGGACTTGGCCGGTTTCAAGTTTGTCTTTCCACTCAGTCATCATTACTCTTGTAGTGCAGCGAAAAGGTGTCAAGATTTGCTTGCCTATCCAATGGCGCTGGTGACTGCTTAACCATTTCACAAAATCTTGCGAAGGAATTGCAGATTAAGAAAGCATTGTTGGTAGGTCACTTGCTAATATATTTGCAATGTACGTACATGTACATTCGGAGCGCATGGGTACGGTTGAGCACGGAAGCGTTCACCCAGAGGTAAAGAAACACCTTCTGATGAGAGAACAAAGAAATTAGTGTCGTGGGAAAACTTGAAATGGCAGCAACACTGGTTTTTGCAGCCAAACAGACATTGTACATGTAGGATAGCTTCATCTTATGAATAGTTAATGCGGTACCCGCTGCTATGTACCCGGTACATCAGATTCGAACCAGCCAACCGATCCCGTTAGCTTGGTGGTCGAGTGGTACATGTAAGACGTCTGCACTAGAAAGCAGGAGGTCGTGGGTTTGAGTCCAACCCGAGTGATTTTTTCCAACTTTCTCTCGGGAGGTGACACTCTGAGAATGCAGTGTTTATATACGACAGTGAAGGGCAAAACCTAGTTTGATGTACCAGTGTCCTTACCATACCCATGTATTTTGGCAGGGAATGACCAAAACACATTGTCCAGAGTTAGCTCTTCGGGAACATTTTTAGTCACGACAAACTTCCTGCGACGGAAGCAGAACATTAACAGCATGGAGGGATGCCGGGACGTGTCCCCCTACCAGATTTCCTCCGGTCTTAAAGTATTACCTGTCAGCGCCGTGATGAGCCATAAATCGGTGCACGGGAGGAAAGAGACGTGACCAGCCTAATGTTCATGTGCCGAACATGTGCTGACTTGTTTGCCATGGTTCGATGGTTATGTTTCGGACTTGCATTGCGCTCATCGCAAAACAAAACCAAAACAGTGTAAAGGGCATTTAATGGTGTGTACCCGTGCTCACATGCATTTAGTCTACAGAATATCCCCTTGCACAGCAACGGTCTATGATACGCGAACAGATTTGGCGATAAATTGTGCCAAACAAGACTGCATCGTGACCTCGAGATTCTGACCATTCAGTAGGCATCTTCTATCTTCCGTAACCCATTGTTGTATTACAAAAACATGTCGGCACAATTGACCAATCAACAGCTTAGTCCACATTTCTGTTCGAAATGACGTTACAATTTATGAAGTGATCTCCGACTGGCTGGTGCGCGGGATCGCATACAATTTGCATTGCTCAGATATATCAGACATTGGTTACGTATACGGAGACCACTCCGTCGGACAGCGGGTAATACTGACTAACATGCATGTGGAATACGTGAGACAAATTTGTGCATAATAGTCAATGGAAAATGGTCAGATTGAGTGTGTGGCATTTGTGCGCAGGGCATGATTTTGATGCATGATGTGCACTTGGCTGGTACTTGGCCAACCAGAACACTTCCTTCACAAAACCAACATAAATGCCTTAGAAGGTTTATTTAATAGTAAATAGAACAAATTTAACTCGTACATACTTCCACACACCTATAACTAAGAATGTTGTGATTAGTTTTGGAAATGCATTGTAACTTGTACAAAACTGAAAACATCAACTTAAGGACGATGTGTTTCATTCTCTAGTCTCAGGTCAGGGTAACAGGCCTGGTATTGATTGATTGATTGATTGATTTATTGCTGCATGTATACAAATACAATATAGTAGACATTCACTTGATTGCTCGCTAAAAAGTCAATATGGGTTGAGAATTAAGCATTAAAAATACAATTTAACACTTTCAAACATATAAAATCTCAGGAAAAGAAACATTACAAATATCATTTACAACATAATTTAGTTAAACAAAAAAAGTCACAGTTGTTCAAAATTCCCATTTAAATATACTGCAGTGTAAAAAGAGCGATTTCAGCACTTAGTCCGTCCCTCGGGTTATCGACATTGGGTGCTCAACCAGAGATACACCAGCCAGTCGACATTGGAGTAATTGTGAACTTGTGCATTTCTGGTGTGCATTTCTTCTTATCCAAGGTTTAATTGCTTTTTCTTGCTGACATTCGTTTCTTATCACAGATGAAGATGAATCGCACGGAGTCCTGGAAGGGGAGGAAGCCCCGCCCTTTGACCTCATCAAATGCGGTGAGTGTAACGCAGACTTTGCCCTGGCCGACATAGTCAAGTTTATCGAGCACAAACGGAAATGCTACCCCCGGCCAGTGGTGGTGGACCCCATGCAGCTAAGGGCCCCGACCGAGCCCAACCAAGACATCACAGACCTGAGTCTCGTCAAGACAGAAGTGGAAGACGAGGGGAGGACAGGGGAGGAGCCAGCACAGGAGGAGGAAGAGGAGGTGGTCGCCATCGCCGAGGTGGTCGTCAGGTCGGAAAAGCCAAAGATTATTACCCCAATTAAGAGGATTTCGACGTCCTCCGTTCAGAGAGATCCCATCTCGCCGCGGGTCAAGCAGACGCAGACACAAACTTCAGGTCAGTGCCGCAAATCTCCGTTTTGAAAAGCATATTTGTTTGCATGTTGCTTGTCCCTGTTTTAAATCATTGGGGTTACATCTGTTTTGAAGTTGCACCAATGGGAGAACAATACTTAGCGTTGTCAAGTGTTTGTATGAAAGCGGCCACTTTTTTACAGTCTACTTCTAGCAGATAGTGTCCTAAGTTCAGTTACATATGTACATGTAAGGCATATCACCTGGGCCCAATTTTAGGGTGTTAGCAAAAAACGAACATTTACTATAGCACTTACTATACTATAGCACTTACTATAGCATTTACTATGCTTAAAATTAATATATTTCTCTGATTGGCGAGGAATTTTGGCTAAATGCGCATACACATATATTCTGACTGTGCTGACAGGGTTAGCATAGAATTTACTCGCTAGCTTTGTTAGCACAGAATGGTGATGGCAAACAAAGAATTTTGTTGTTGGAAGAGCCATATTGGGCCCAGTCCTTGATAATTAATACACAAATTAATTCAGAAGCAATTAAAAATGTACTTAATATTTTAACTGCTGAGTTCCTGTCACTAAAAAAAGATGCTGTTCGGCAGTATTATTTAAATGGATGCCAACGTTTTTTCCTCCTATGCCGCAAAAGTGGCCTTAGTTGCAAACTACATGTATATTGTAAATTTGTAACGCTGGTTTACAAATATAAGTGTATCTGAAAGATGAAGCATAAAGGTTAGTCTCTTTGGCATCTACATTGTACATGCAAAAGGAGGAATTGAAGTAGACTTTTAGAGTTTGTACCTCTAGCCCCTTCCTAGAAGACTGAGCACTTTTCATCACATAGAAATCCTAAGTTTAGGGGGCGAACCTGTGTCCACAGGAATGGGGGGCCCCATCTCTCTCTTTCGAAGCGATTGGGCCAGACTCAAGTCCATGAAATGCTGCTGTGGGGGGATCGCCAAACCTTCCCAGCATTGAATAATGCCGGTACCCATTTAACACCTGGGTTGAGAGGAGTAATTGAGGTAAAGCACCTTACTCAAGGGCACAACACGCATGGCCATGGCGGGGCTCGAACCCACAATCTCACAATCATGAATCCTGCCCTATCGCTAGACTACATGTGTCCTGCCGCTAGACCACACGTGCCCACAATCCTGACTTATTTTCCATAAACCAAGCCAGATTGTTGTCACGAGCGCTTGGAAAAACCCACAAATATGCACACACCGGTAAACCGCAATGTATAGGTTTGCTTTTAGATTTTTACATTTGATAAAAGCCGCAAAGTGACAGTTGTAAGGTAGTGGTTTGCATGCAAAAAAAACCTTAATAAGTATTCAGGTGAGGAGGACCTACTCCCGGTGCAGAGAGAGATACTTGCAAGTTGAAGATAGATAATGATTGTTGTATTCTGCTGATAGAACGATCCAATCATCTCCGCCCACAATGCACAGAGGACAGTAACACTGTTTTGTGGGTACCGGGGAGGTCACTTAGTAGTGTACTTTCCATATATGTACATGTTCTGCACTTTACGGAAGTGTCGATCCAGGCAACGGGTGAACAACCATTTGTTCAATGAGAGCTCAAAGAAATGGTTACCAGCAACCTTGGATATGATGCGGTCTAGCGAATCCTTGTATACATTGTACATCTTTGAGAAGTTGTTTTACATGCAACCAAGCACTCTGTTCAGTGCATTTCCAGTATCCCGTTGCTGACGTGTAATTTCCAAACTTTGGAGAAAGTCTGGCACGTGCAAAATGTACCAGTCTTTAATCAAAAATTCTTTCTTGACAAAATTGCAGGTTTAAAAACTATGGTGTCTTCGAAAGTCATCATGAAGTCACTCTGTATTTGATATCTAAAGGCCAGTTCATACTCGGCTTAAAAGCGAACACAAATGCGAATTTGTGATGTCAGGCAAGTTTTCGCACTGCCAACTTGCAAAGGTTTAACACATTTCAACTCCGGCAAACTTCGCAGTGAAAGCTTCGTGATATCAAATTCGCATCGCATTCTCATGATAAAAGTATGAACCTGCCTGTTAAGTTGCTCGCCCCGCGTGCTATTTAACTGCTGTTTTTCTAGCAATACAAAAGTTATCCGCATTTGAATAAGACATCTAAAAAAAAAAAAAAATCCACCATGTTTAGCTAGATGGAATATTTACTTTACAATCTTTGAATTATTTGCCAACCAACATTAATTTGGACGTATCTTTTTGTGCATAATGGGCGCAAAACGAACCACAATAAAATTGTATTTTCAGAGGGTTGAAAACGTGCAAGATAGAAAAAAAGTAGCCTTTTCTGTTTTAAATAAAACACACATGCTTAAAACTTGTGAGAACAAAAAAATATCACTGAGTATACAGTGTTGAAACATCGGTGAAGGGCAAAATCTAATTTGAACAAAAAAATATGTTGAAAAGTATTGCAATTGACCTATTGCCGTTTGGGAGTTAGCCACGCCCCTTAGACAACCCTATGGAGTTTTAGTACACAAAGTTTTGTTTGTCTCAGATTTTGCACGTTCCCCGTCCATTTGTATATCATGTAATTGGACAATATTTCGCGAGCTGCGTTGACGCGATTCTACCACGATTCTACTGCGATAGGTCAATTGCTGCAAAGCTGGGTGTCCGTCAAGGTTGATAACAATTAAAGCTTCGTACATGTATGAAGAGACTTTGAGATGAACATTTTTCATACAATGCTCAAGTACATGAAACCAATACTTCAAGTGGGAATGCGAATGCGTGTTAGTTTCTTTGTTTGGTTTAAAATGGTTTGGTGAGGCATATTTGATTTGAAATATACACCTAAAAAAGCTGGAATTCCTTTCCCTGACTTTTGATAGTCATTTACATCTGCAGTGGCTAGGAAGTTGCAGGTTCAAGTCTAAAAAAATATAGTCATTTGCATTGTTGCAAGATGTAGGCTCAAACTCTAGATGGCAACACCACAGAATTTCACGCTCTTCTGCGCTCTGGGGAAAACATGTAATTTTTCCTAAAAATTTTTAAAAAGCCAGAACACATGTTCATTATTCTGGCAACTGAAGTGGAATGATTACAAGCAATAGTGAGCAGCAGTGTCCATTCTCACATTTGATGTTAATGTGTCTGGAAATGTATGCATTGATTGTCATGTTGTCTGTGTCCATGTTGTCCGTCTGGCTAGTATCTGAGGACACTAGTCCCCGTCGTCATGGTGATAAAAGCATCCTTTATCCTACTTGAGAATGGAAATTGCACGTTGCCATAGCATTCTGGATGTTATCTTTGCTTGGTCGTTGACATCTTAGTTTGTATTTTTTTTTTTTAAAGTTCGGATTTCACAGAACCAATGGAATAACAAGTTTGATGAGAATGGGGGAAATTGAACAGGAACTAGTTATAACGGTACCTTGATCGGAAAGAACTGCATATATACACATTTGTGTATGCACCATTAAGCCTTACATGTATATCTCCCCTGCTTTAGGAAGGGGGACACAGCTTTTGACCACAGGGGTGCGTTTTGGCGGTCATAACCAAGAATTGGTTCGGTGGTTTCTCTTTGGTTAATTGTTTTGGGGATTTGAGTACTACATGATCATGCGTAATTCTAACCCAATTAAAATTGCCCAAGAAAATCATAACAAAGTTAATACATTTCGCAAATTCTGAATGTTAAATGTATGTGAACACCCAAGTCACACCCATTTTGTTTGTGCGTCCTCTGCAAGTTTCCTGTATTTTCCTTAAGAATTGTTTTAATCTAATCCAGACATTGCTGTACTCCACTCAGTTTGATTGTAAACCTCATCTGGTAGGTAGTTCAGAGTTTCTGTGAGGTCAAATTTCTTTACAGAAGCAGGAAAATGTCATAAAAACCAACAAAATCTTTCAAATGGGCCAACCCCTGTTTATTTCCTATGATTTTGAAGAAGACAACGATTTGTTTTTAATGCAAAAATAACAGAGTTGTGCCCAATTGTACCAACCGATTTTTAAAATGAGGCAGTTGCACTACATGCACTTTGTTCATTTAATCTCTTCTTGGCTCATTTTAGCCACGTATTGGGGGAAAATGTAACTTAGGACACACACAAAAGTATACTAGGGCCTACATGTAAGCAGGTAACGTACTGCAATAAAATGTGCCATATGCCGAGTTAATTTTCGTGGATAAATCTTTTTACAAGCTTTTTAATTTATGCCTTGGTGAAGGACTTGATTGGGCTGAATATCTTTCATTTTACATGTAATATACACATGTACATGTAGAGTACTCAGTAGGGACTGTCCCTCTTTATTTTTATGGCTCTCTAAATATTTCTTTATGAAGTACATGTACACTGTACGAGTGTCGTTCAGCAAGAAATCAAAACCTGAAGACGAAAAAAACTGCAGTTGTAACCCGTAGGTCTATAAATGGCTAAATTAAATGATGCCAGGTGTGTATTAGTTGTTATTGATTGTTGCAATCATGCAATGAGAATATCATGGGTACATATGGGGTCCACCTAATACCTATGTTCCCCAATACCTATGTTCCCCAATTCCTAGTAGGGTAAGGGTTAGGGTTAGGATTGGGGAACATACGGTACTTATGTGGTAAAATGTCTGCTGTGAAACCTGATGATGTACATATGCCTGGTAGAAACATATTAACAGAGTAGTACCAGTGTATTAGGCACAAGCAAAGTCATCCAACCACGACCGATGCAGTGAAATAATAGAACGATGATTGCCCATAAAGTAAACTAGCGTTCCAGCCAGACAGCCAGCTTGCATATCCAGCCAGGTCTGCCAGACATGCCACGACCTTGAGGTCACTAGACCCTGACATTGACATTGTACTGTGCTCATGCATGGAGTGCAGAGGCCAGCTAGCCATTATTCAAAACGGCCTTCATATTATTACAAATATGTCTGTACTGTATGTAAATAAAACATTTAAAAAATATAAGAAAATAATATTCAGTGCATATAGTGTATGCCGCATTATTTGGAAGAATCGCGTGATACAGTGTATAATTATGAAGAATGAGGAATGCAAGCCAACTTTTTTGAAAAAAAAATTTCAATTTGATTATTGGTTGATGATCTTCCATGCAAAAAAATACAGCAATTTCCCATGACCTCAAAGTGCTTAAATGCAATTGATAATAATCACTTTTTTACTCAAATGTATTATTCCATTGTTGATGTTTATTATCAGTTTGTTCAGGTATGGCAGGTTTTTGAATTAGGTAATATTTATGAGTCGATAACTTCAATGTGTCCAATATTGAACTCATACAATGTACAAATTGTATCTGTGCATGTACATGTACCTGGAAATGTACACTATGTGTACCAATTTAACCAGAAAATCCTCGCTCAGAGATAGGACTTGTACCAAATACCCTGTGAATTTACTCCGCCTGAATTGATATCATTCAGAGACAAACAATCATTGAAGGTGGTTTAAGAAAGTGTGCCAGTGGCAGTGGGCACAGTTTTTTTTAAATGCGTTGGCAACGGAATCCAGTTTATGAGACGCCAACAAAATTGTGCATGATAGGCCTAGTATCCACTGAGCTGAAACCTCAACATGTGTGTTGTTTTGCATCTTTTTTAAAATTTTGAGAAATTTTTCTGCTCAAATCCTGCCCAATCCCCAAATCCAGGATTTGTCATGCTGAAGATTCAGGAGTTTTTTCTTCTTTGGTACAATGTACTTGAATTGTATGGGGTTCATGTACTTGTGGTTCAATAGAGCCACTAGCCATGTATGAGCCGAATTTCAAGTTCTGGTCCATTTCATATTTTTAAGGGCAGCGTATATCTGTTGAATCTGTCATGTTTACCAGAATAGGAAAAAGGTTCCCCACTAGGCCATTCATTCTGAGGTGTGCTTTGATGTTTGAAAAACCAAAGACTTAAAGGGAATGCAACATTTTCAAACATCCAAAAAAAAAAAAAAAAATACCAAATTATCAGGGGTTTTCCTTAGCGGTCGCTCGCTCGCCAAATGCGAGTGAAAACAGCGGCGGGCGAGTCAAAACCCTCCTCTCAGTAGTCCGACGGGCGAGTCAAAAAACTGTTAAAAAAATAAAAATAACGAAATTTTCCCTACAGTATTTTTCAATCAATCAAAATAAAAAGTTAAGGGTGATACAACACATGAATGCTTTTACCACGCCGACTGAAATAAAAACATTGGTAGTTTGAATTCATATCACTCCATGTATATTCGCAGTGCGCTGTGCATTGAAATCCCAACGACGAACACGACACGAGGCGAATCAACGTGTATTTGCCATTACACATTGTGCACACATGCAGCGCACGTGATTTACTTCGTCTGCAGTCCACACGGTACGGACGTGCGTACGTTAACATCGTATTCGTATCATACAACGTGGTGAGGAGAAAACTTTCATGACAGTTTCACTGCCAAAACTTGTGCCCGAACGGATTCTTGGGATGATTTCTTGAACACTATCAAACGAATGTACCGAAACGATGAGGACAATATGAGATTCGAGGGGCCTATTTTTAATGTAAAAACTAGTGAATGTAAAGTGGACCGTGCTCCAGAAAACGTTATGGATTGACGTGACCAGCGTAAGTTTGTGGGTCGCCCGCCCGCAGCGCTTCTTGCTAGGCACGCTGATTGCACCATTCTTCGCTAGAAATGCATGGCGCGCGCGAGAGATGTTTTTTTTTTTAAATACTGGCCTTCTCACTCATTTTCAAACAAGTTAAAACAGTTCAGTTTATACTAACTTGGTAAACTCCCATTAATACCACGACTGTGTGCAATGTTTTCTTGTTCCTCAAGATAACGCTTTTTTAGTTCGTGTTTTATCAAAACATGTCGGAAATAGAACACCTAAAGCCTTAAGTTCGGAACGAAGCACACTGCATAAATTTTGATTATAACTTCTCCCCCTATATTTGATTCCTGTTAATTAAAGCCTTGCTCTATGTTAAAGCATGGACGATTTAAGAAACATTGACTTTACTTAAAAAGGAACTACATGCAATATTATGTACATGATTAAGATAATTGCCGATTGTATTCATATTGCATAATTTATTATCAAAAATGTTATCAAAAATGCTTTTGGTGATTTGATTGAAAGTTACTATTAAAACATGTGGGCTAGTGAAAAAGGTTGCGGGCCAGTGAAAACTCTGGTTTACTGGCCCGGCCGGCCAGTAAAGGAAAAAGTTAAGGGAAACCCCTGAATTATTATGAAATACCTTACTGGACTGTTAGTGAAGACAGTCTCAAACATCCTGTAAAATCATAGCACCTGGTGTGCTGTCATTTTCAAGAAAAGTGGTATTTTTTATCGATTTCAAACTGGCTTTTTTCAAATACTGCCCCAAGTTGACCATATTTAATTAGTCTGCATTTTGTTTGCAATCGATTACATATCTACAAACGGGTACAAACCAGCTAGACTGGGTCCCTGACCTTACAATTCCCCGACGTCTATAAATTGTTCCGTTTCATCTTAAGTGGGGTCAGGGAACATGATCGGTTTTTCTTGGTTTTTCCAGCATCTACGAACACAAAACTTCAATCAAGTCAATGTAACAGTATTTGCTATAAAATACTAACCCCCCAATCCATCCATTTTTGGAAATTACAGCAAAAGCAAATGTTATATATATTTCCTTCAATTTGATTCATTAGTGTTTCAATGCACCAATTTTTATTCCCGTTTTTGGTGTTTTTGTGTTTTTTGTGTGAACAGAGCCCGACCAGTCCAAGACCTACATTTGCTATGCCTGCAAGGATTTGTTTGACAATGCTGCCAGCCTCTTGGAACATGTCCAAAGTGATCACGGCATGCAGATATATCAGCAACCCTGGAAAGCCAGAGATAGTAGCAGTACACTGTCAGAGTCCAGCTCTCATGGCTCCGCCGAGGCTAAGGTGTCAAGGAAGACGTACTCCCCGCAGTCACCTGATAGTGTTGTTAAGCTTGTCCTGCCCTCCGTCTCTTCAACACCTTCGTCTTCGACTGGGCCTTCTCTTCCCCCTCCGCAAGCACCCCTCCCTCCTGCTGTACCCATGTTGCCAGCATCCTCCATTGCAGCTCCGCCAGCTCATCACCACCCCCCACTGCTGGTGCACAGCCCCCACGCCCACCACCCAGTACACCCTCTAGAGGGCAACCCACTCTCTGTCTATATGCATCCACCAGCAAGTGAGCAACACATGCTGCCGGCCATGGGGGAGAGGATTTACCACAATCCCATCAATCCTTCCCAGTGTGTAACACTTCGGGATGTACTGGGTGCACCGGAGCGAGCTACTCTGAACAATCAGATGCTCATGCCACCACAAGGATTTGATCCAGGTTCCCATTCGTCATTCTCATCCACCAGTCGGGCAATAGACATTGACATGTACTCGCAGCGACTACGGGAGCTGGCCGCAGCGGGGCCACAGAACCCTCCCAAAAAGAAGGGTTACCACTACCAAATCTTCAGTCCCCGCTTCAAGTCCCCATTTTCACCAAAGGTGAAAGCCTGCGAGTTTTGCGGCAAGACGTTCAAGTTTCAGAGCAACCTGATTGTGCACCGCAGGTCTCACACGGGTGAGAAGCCCTACAAGTGCCAACTCTGTGACCATGCGTGCAGTCAGGCCAGCAAGCTCAAACGACATATGAAAACCCACACAAATAAGCCACCATCAACCCTGACATCACCGTCCTCAGAACCAAACATGAGTGATGATGCTGTGACTGGTGAGACCAGTGCCAGCTCCCTCATCAAAACAGCAGTGGACCGCTACATGAGTGAGACCAAGTTTTCAAGCAAGGACACATCCATTGACGATGATGAAAATGAGGAAGAAGAAGAAGAGGAAGAAGAAGAAGAACCGGAGGAGTACGAGGGGGAAGAAGAAGAGGAGGAAGAAATGGAGGATGTCAGCAGCGATGAGGCAAATGTTGGCGAGAGATCGTCAGATATTGACGGCCTGCGACCATCAAGCCATAGAGATGACAACCGTGATGAAAAGGAGAACCACTCCTCACTTCTGAGTGAGGTGATGAAACACACAGGCCTGAGTGAGATACAGCAGTACAGTGAAGCCTACCACCAGGCCATGGCTGAGAGGTACTGTAGCAGCCGCCGCCATTCATCAAGACTAGAAGAGCATGCTGCTCGGGAACGGTACCTGAAAGAGCAGAGAAGCGGTGAAGGTGGGCTTCTGAGAGAGGTCTTGGCTGGCCCCAGCTACCGTTCTCCAGAGAAGGAGCACCTTAGATCCCCAACCAGGTCCCCAAGGAATGCTATGTTAGGGTTGGAGGAGGTGACCAAACGTATCAAGGTGGAACCCCCGACTACGGCTTGGGGGCCCGATCCGAGCAGCTTTCCCAGCAAAGATCCCTTCAGTCACTCTCCGGTCTTGCTGTCGTCGCAGAGTAGTCCCTCAGCGAGTGCCACCAATGGGACATTGCCAGGTTACTACAGCGCAAGTAACAGCACGGACAGGCCCCCGCATTCCAGTCCCTCCTCCACCATGCCCTACAGTAGCCTGGCCCTTCACAAGTCCCCCAAGCAGCTGGCCATGGATCGCCGCACTGGCACCTGCGAGTTCTGTGGCAAAGTATTCAAGAACTGCAGCAATCTGACGGTTCACCGCCGCAGCCACACTGGGGAGAAACCCTACAAATGTGAGCTGTGCCCCTACGCCTGCGCACAGAGCAGCAAGCTGACGCGGCACATGAAGACCCACGGGCACGGGGCCAAGGAGGTCTTCAAGTGCGAAGTCTGCGGCATGCCCTTCTCAGTTTACAGCACGCTGGAGAAACATATGAAGAAGAACCATTGGGGAAACATCAGAGGCACCACTCGTTGACAACACCACTGGTCCAAATGGTCTTAATTCTAGTAAGAATACAGTACGCCTAGCGATATTTGTCAATTAAATGCACACTTTATACAATTTCATCCATTTCTACCTTAAAAAAAGAAACAGAGTATGCAATAATTATAGTGGTATCTTGTGAACAATTCATTGCAGCAAGAACCCGTAAAAATCCACTGAGTTGTAGCAAAATGTTCCAGAACCGTGTGTATTGCGAGAAATGTTTTATACAGACATCAGACATGTTTCTAAGACAGTTGATGGTACAGCATCACATGGGTGTTTCCGTAAGAAATCTAAAGATGATTGAAGTTGATTGAAATAATTCACAAAAATTATCACGACAAATATGCATGTTTCAGGATTTAAAGGGGCTATGTAAACTAAACCTGTGGAGAGTGGTATGGATTTTGTCAGCAAGACATTTCTTGCAACTCGAAATACGGTACAACTAATTTTGACGCTTATTCTTGGCCAAACTGTATCAAATATAGATCTCAGCCAACAAAATCTATCCGTATTTTCAACCCGTTTTTAATGAATTGGGTGTAACTTGAAACCTTCATTCAACACTTTTTTTTTACAATAAAAAACAGAATGTTTTTGACATGCTTTTGATGACAATCCGAAAAGGGAGTCATTTCTTTAAATATTCAAAATATTGAAATGCATTTGATGCACGCAGATTGTGGGAAATGTGGTGTGCATATTGTAAAGTCCCATAATTCTGTACTTCATTATAGCAAGAGACAACGAGAATTTTGGTGTTTTGGGGAGAGGATTTTCCCCCCATTTTTTTGTTTGTTTCTAAATTTTTAAAATGTATTTGGGATTGTCGGTTTCCATTGTTGGAATGGAGTGCACGATTTGTTGCTTTATTTTTCAAAGGGAGATTAATGGATTACAAAAGGAACTCAAGAATGCACTGGATTTAAGGATGTGCAGTATACATAGATTTTGCATGAACTCGCACCGTTTCAAGGCTGGTTTATAGTGGGATTGTGCGATACGATAATTGTCCAATAGTGATGGTTGCCTAGCACTGGGGAATTTGTGTAAGATCATCACATGATAAATTTTCAGTCGTGCGATTGACCATCGCTTCACATACTAAATCCAGGCACGTACGTTATCACAGTATACACTCACGAGGCCCCCTTCAATGGAGGAATCAGTGTACAAAGCAACTGCCCCATGAAAGATTATGTGAACAATAGCTAGCACAATGCTGTCGCCATTAAAGGGGGCCTTCATGATAGAATTGATGTGTCTGGATTGGTCTTTAAACGAGCCTTGAGGCCTGGAATTAATGCAGGGGAGTCAAAAGCCTCTGTTTTTTTGTCACGGCCTTGAAATATTCCGTTGGCATTATCTCATAGACATTAGGCAAGGGTCTTTGAAGAGAAAAAAAACCCTTGCCTTTTTCAAAGGGGAAATTCCGGCTCTACGATATGCTGCACAAAGTGTGGTCAGATAAAGGACCGGGTCCAAAACGAGCATTTTTGACCACAGCCACAGATTTTTACTGTATAGTGTGTCAAAACGCAAAGCCTCAGCCCCAAAACGGCTGATTTGGATGCGGCTTAAGACTCGGCTGAACAGATGAGTGCATCAAGTAATATTAGGTCACAGTTGCACAACTTGTCAAACGCACCTATACACAGAACTTTGTATACAATTATGTATCTTTAAAAAAAATGTTAATTAATAATTGGTGTGGTACGTGTGAAGGTTGACTTGTGCAATATTTAAAGAAAATTTCTTCGGTTTTTTTTCCTGTTCTTGCTGAAAATGGGTGTATTGTACAGCGTAACACATACACAGAATTAGTTGGACTTGATGGTCTAAAGGTTTACGATGTAGGTCGGATCGTAGTTCCTTCGAAACTTGAATGTGGGGGAGGGAGTAAGTTTATTTGTTGTATCACCTGCAGCTGTGTGTATACAGTAAGTTTGTATATTATATTGTGAATGTTATAGAATGAGGTACAGGTAGCTATTTTGCATACTGGAGGGAAGACGAAAAAGTGGTGGCGCTTCTATCATGCATTTCTCCTCCTGCTGGTATAACCAGAGATGTGTCCTACCCCAACAAGGTTGGAGTAGCCGTAGTCAAAGTTAGCGTTTATGAACGTCAGTTTGCCAAAGCTGTGAAGTGAATGAGGGAACATGGTTCCTGTCATTTGATTTTTTTGTTTGTTTGTTTTTTTTGCCCTTTTTCTATTATTTTCCGTATTTGTCTGTTACTGCGCAGCTCTAAATGTATGTAGTTTGTAATCTGCATTATAATGCGTGTAAATATTACTGTGAAATGCAGCTGGCTTCCAAAATGGCTCTTTGTTACAAATATACAAATATAAAAATTATATATTATAATTACTTGTTGCGTGAATTGAGAAACAAAACATTAAAAAAAAAAACAATGGTGTTTGGCTTTTTTTTTTCGGTGTATTTTTTTATATAATAAGCACGAGTAAGTTTGGATTTGAAAAAAAAATAAAACGTTTGGGCTTTGTTAATGCCCGGTGGATTCTGTCATGTATGAAATACGTGACAGTTTGCCGTTACCAGATGGAATCACGTCGCAGCTGAATTTAGTCAGTAACTGTCAAACTAGTGTGAAAGGAGGTCAGACTGACGTAAACGTATGTAAAGTCTTTGAAGAAAAAAAATTACTAGTAACCTTAATGAAGCCATAGTATAAGCTGAAAGCAAGTTATAGATTTTAAAAATCTACAATCCTAATGAAGTCTGGCCTTTTTGGGGGAACTATACAAAGTGAAACTGTGAATTTTTATGCAAATAATGAAACCATTAGCTTTGGTGCTTAAAGGTTTTGGAGTGTTTTACAAGGGGGAAGTCAAAAGAATTTGCTCTCTGGTGTTTGTGATGATGAAAGATATTCACTTCATCCCAAATAGACGAGAGTAAGGAGTTTTCCCACGTGATTTTGAAAGTGTGTCAGATTGTTAACCACACGTAATGCACAAAGTAATGCAAAATCTTTTGAACGAATCTACAGTGAACCCCTTCTTCTTAACCATCTGATGCAAATAAAACCATTCTTCTATACACACTTTCTTCACCTGCACAGACCGAACCCATGGTCTGTTATAATCACATATTGCTGCTTTTTATATAGAGTTTTTAACACTAGTTATGTAACGTCAAAGTAATGAATTTCCAAAAACTGACTGAAATACATACGGTTACCGTATATGATATAAATACATGTATATATGTGTCTAGCACAACCTGTCTACTGTCATGACACTGTTTCTAAAACATTAAAATAGTACATACATGTACAATCCGATATTTCTAAATTTAATGGTTTTTATGGTTACACCCTGTAGTAGTGTGCATTTTATGCTTTGTAGGTTTTTTTTTTAAATATTATTATATTAATGGTGTACAATAGATTTAGCGGGGGATAAAAAAAAATTTGATAATAATTGACTTGTAAAGTCAAGTGTTTTCTTTTTGTTCACTATTTACTGAAAGTCAGTAAAATTAAGAAATCTAAATAGAAAATTTGTATCAGAACTTTGAAATGTACACAAATTACGATCCCATCATGATGCACTGAGATACTACATTGATGTACCCTCAAGTTGAAAAGCCCAGGCAGGCCCCCCCCCCCTATTTTTGGCTTAGTTTTATGTTGTATGTAAATTCTTCAATCACAAAGAAAACTGTGACCCAATTCCTATTGTTTGATTGCTTTGGAGAATTTTATGTGAAAAAAGCCACACATTCTTGAATCACCGAGTCAAAATTTGCTCATGGCAGTGCTTTCTCCCATATCCGAAAAGCACGATCAACTGAGAACGATAACGCATGTTCTGTAAGACAGGCCTAGAATATAAGGCCGCTGCTGTATAACTTGGCTGTGACCGGTAATTACATGCACACCTATGGAATAAAGCAGCCCAACCAATTCAACCTTCCGTAGACTTTTGTGTAACTGTCGTCCATAGCCCAATAGTGCGGATGCAGCCATATCCATGCCCCCAGCTATCAGAAGGCACAAGTTAGTTCGTAGTACATTGCCTGGTTTTGTCGCATAAAGGCTGGTTCATAATTCATGCAAAAAAAATGAAAGCGAAGCGAATTTCATGACGTCAAACAGTGGAAGTTTTATTGTGATGTTCGCCGCAACCCAAATAAATTTGCTTCGCAATGAAATTTGCGTGAGGTATGAAACAGGCTTACATGGTAAGAGTGCTTTTTATGTTTTATGGTTGACGAAAAACACCCACATTAAGGAACAGACATTTGTATCTGAAGAAGAAAGATTCTGCGTTTTGTTTAACAGTTGTTAGTTTACCTGTTTACAAGATGTTGTCACAGTTATTTGTTTCGAATATTCCCAGAAAATGGTGTTCCCACTAAAGACTACGGCTCGTAGTAACACACATGGCTATGAGAAGTGGATTTAGTGAGCCACAGCCAAGTCATTGCTACAGCCATGGCTGTATAGTAGCCATATTCCAACCGTACCATAACCAAGTTGATTGTCCATCGGTGCATTCCTAACTCCAGTAATTAACAGATGAGATTGTGTAGGTGTTCATTATGTATGCACAGATATCGTGTCGTGACACTAGAGGGGGAAACAAACTTGCAGTTACCATAGTAACAGCATGACACGATTCCTTGTCACGATGATTGTAATTGCCACTTTTTTTCAATGGTCTTGGTCACTGTTTGGTCAAAGATTGTCCTTGTACCAATCATCATGTACAACTTCTATTTCACAATGTGAATATGACTAGTGCACCTTAACATGAAAACATCAAGTTTTTCTCTGTGTTTGTAGTAACTTAATTATCTTTTGATTTTTCAATCACAAAAATGCAAGCATTTTGAATGAATATGGTTCTGTTTTGGAACTCTAAGAAGAGTTCAAAAGGAAGCAGAAATTGTTATGCATCTCCAAATCTGTGAAATCAACTTGAAAAAACTCATGAGTGCCTAAGATTTTATCCGTCTAACCAGGCCAAGCCATCAATTAAACGGTGACAAGTTTTACTTTTTATTTAGTTATAATTTTTTTTTATTAACAGGTATTTTATATTCCCTTCAATGTAAGATAAAACTGGAGCCCTTAAATTTCCAATCCTTTGTACTTCCATGTGTGTAGACACATTAAACTATAAGGACAGAAATTCAAGCTTTTATTTTTATGTTTGTTAATTGTAAAGTTCGAAATGATATCAGTTTTGTTTTCCTGGCTTGTATTTTTAATTTTTTATTCTCATACAAGCCATATGCTGGAGTCAGCTTATTATCCAGATGAATTGTTCTTTTGCCCCTCAAAATGCTCTTATTTTAACCAAAATTACTTTCCTGGGTTTGAAATTCTTACATCCCTTACATAAAATACTTTAACTTGGTACAGATAAGTATAACTTGAAAATTCCTAGTTTTTGACGGTAAAATCCAGATATCTTTTTTTCGTGAAATCCTTGTGGCGACCTATTCACCTTTAGAAATTGCCTTGTGGAGACCTTTACAATCGTTTGTTCTGTATTTTACCCGGGTCTCCACGAGGTATCATTTTTCACAACGTACATGTGTGGCATAAAATAGGCACGACTCTGCTTCTGAATGTGCACAAGCCCATAGCGTTGTTGCATGAGCCTGAGACGCAACCAGCAATGCATTGGAAGGTCCCTCCTGGTGGTCTCCCCCAACTCTCCCCTTTGTAACCATTGAGGGGGTACTTGCGCAGTTCCAAGGTTCTTGTTTCAAATACTAATTTTAAATTTGTCTTGACCTGGAAAAACCTGCATATCGTAAAAAGTGGCTCACGTTGCAAATCAGAACCACTCATTGTAACTCATAAATGCTTGGGTCATTGAAAATTGACTTTGATATCCGACACTTAGACTTTTGTCTAAACTGGGTCATCTTGTGCCGTAATTCAACATCATTCCTGTTTTAACCTATTGTGCCTCATGCATTGGTATCTAGAAATGAAAACAAAGTTTTAAACTTGAAAATGGATTTTTTTTCTTTCTTTTTGGATTAGTTGGCACCCTGTATGAACAATAACATAAGTTAAAAGACCCCGTATAATTTATGTCAAATATGAAAGGATACAAAAATATGTGCCTACAGAACACAAACTATAGCAACTACTTTGATGGGTTACTCATTTCATAAATGTATCATTAAAAATGACTTTACAGTGTCCGATTTTTATGGAGCTTATTATTTCTTTTCATGATGCTTTAAAATTGACATTTTTCAAGTATGGCTTATAAGTTGTACCCTTGCTATGTTAACACTTAACTATTAGGTAATTGTCGCTTACTAAGAGTAAAATTTTCAGAACTCCTTTTTAAAATGAAACAATTTCAAAACAAATACACAACTCTTTAACTCTCTTGCCACTTTTCCACTTTCCATAAAATGTTATTCATTTTGCACCCATGTTGTCATGGACACATCCTACATTCTTAAAGACTTGTAATGATTAGTGTAACCATGTATCAATGAAATTGAAATGTTAATGGTCCATTTGGTGGAGGTGTTATAACATGTTGTGTTTTTGGCTTTTCATATACTACAGTATGTGTTTTGATTTTGATTTTAGAATTATAATGTATGTGTAGTTAAACATAAAACCCTGCCGAGCAGATTATCATTGTTATTAACAATATTTAGTAAGTTTGTATGCGAGACTTCAAAAGTCGACACTTGGTGGTGGCTTGCACTTTCTTGTATGCAATTACTCCTAGAGAAATTACCTTTTATATTTGGGAGAATTTGTCATAGTACGTGGTGGTCATAGTTCTGTGCTTGATCCAAGCTTCTTTTTTTTTAAATCTTGAATGAAGCAGAATAGTAGTTCTTTTATTGATAAAAAAAGATCTCTCAGCCAACTAGACAGCTATAGGACAGGATCATCGTGAGAAACGATGAAGGGTTCTGACAAATTTGGGTTAAGAAAATCATTAAAGGTGACGATTTTACCAAAAATGTAGCTTGACCTTGGTACGTAAAGACGCGCAATTTGATGAATATTGCCTCACAGAATATTGGTGCCAAATATGAGAAAAGTTGAACGAAAAACTGAGACATTATGCAAAAAATACGGTTTTTGACCCAAAATGGGTAAAAAAAAATATGGTAAAATGCTTTGTGGTATAGCCGCAGCACAACCAAATGACATCATATGATAAGAGTACTGGCCAACCAACAGTCCCATTAGAAACAGCCAAAGCAAATGGAAAATAAGATGGGAACTGATGTCGTTCCCCCCCCCCCCCACCCCAGGTCATAGGGTTAACTTACCTACTTGGGCATCACAATAATTGAGATGTATGCTAGGTAATTCACTTCCATTCAATCCCATGCCCAGGTTGCCATTCACAGGATTCATGATTTAGAAGGATTACAGAACTAAAAAAAAGAAACAAACAAAAAAACAGGACAAAGGAATGTGGAAAGTTATACACTTTAAGAAACAATGAATAAGGTTGAGAAGTTGGTGCCATCACTCTGCAGCAACCTATTCCTAAGGGCCTGTCGGCAGATCCTAGACTTGAAATCTTAAGAAGGGCCCCAATTAGCAGAGAACCAATCAGTATACGTTGCATGGAACTTAGGCTGGTAACCCATTATTTTTGCTGAGCAAGTATTTTCTGTGCTTAATAGCTTAGCACACTTCCCTGGGCGGCAGCTCCATAAAACGAGATTGGTTACCAGACAATCAAAAGCTTGTATCATGTAACAGCAATGCAAAGCAGATATGTTAGTTAACACATGGAAGATGTTGCCCCCCCCCCCCCGAAAAAACACCACTTTACATTAAGAATGATATGTACAATAGCCAGTAGTTTATTATACATGTTATTGTCAAGTTTACATGGTGGAATGATTGTATTTCTTCAGATACAAGTAAGATTGAAAGCATGATGGCAACATTGTACACCTTCAATTCTTGTGTTTATTTTGTCACTGCCGAATGATGGTCTTTCTTCCCAACAACGTGAAATTTGGCATTAAAAGATTACACAACTGTGTTGTGTTTCTTGCAAGGTCTGCTTTACGCCACCTCTAAATGAGTCGTGTAACTTAAGCAGACTTGATGCCAAAGAGATGCACAATTTTAGATAATGCAAAACATGTTTGGGGTATTTTTTTTATATTTTTTTTTGGCCTTGCTGTTAATTTTTCTTTTCTCAATATACATTTTAAATTCTGCTGTGCATGCTGCGCTTTGTAGCCTCAAAGGCATCTTTTACTCAAGAAAACACTTTTATGGGGACATTTTAACCATTCTCTGATTGGCACGAACTGATATTGAGTGCTTTCAAAGAATGGAATTTCTTAAAAAGGAATGAACGTACATGTGTTCCCAGGCCACGCGTTATGTGTTAACTGTTCCTTTTTCGTCAAGTTATTCGCTATGAAAGGCTCAAAGATGCTTTTTTTTTCTCCTTTTGTCACTTGTGTTTATTCTTGGAATAAATATTGAATGATTGAAAAAATATGGAGTGGATATTGTGTTGCTGTTTTTCCTCATTGTCTGGTCTGTCAGTAAAGTACATACATTTGAGCGTTTTAATAATTACTCCATTTATACTGTTGCACATCTTCTTTTTTTCTTTTTTTCATTTATCAAAACGCCTAAATTTGCCCAATGGCCGTCATATTGTCGAACATTCCAATGAATTGTCACTATATGCAAATTTCCAAGTATATATATCCAGGCACCAGTATTTATATTGGAGTTCAGAGAACAAATTCGTGAAACCCCCCCCCCCTCACTTTCCATTACCATCCCCCCAAAAAAAACCACCAAAAAAACCCACCAAAACAAATAATTGACCAAAAGTGTGCACAAAAACTATGAGAGTGTGCAGTTTTATATCATTTTTATTATATCTAAATCAATTTAAGGTGCAGTCACAGAAAGTAAAAGTTGATTTGAAACTTGCATTACTTTACTGAAAATGATTGAGTTCACAAACGATGGAACTGTTAATTGTTGCTGCCATTGCTCCATATGATTGTACATAAGGGGTTTGCTACAACAGCATTCTACTTTGACGAGTCTGTTCTAATAGTTTGGCAGGTGATGGGATTGTGCCTTTGATAATATAAACATGGCATTTGGCACAGAGAGTATGTCATGAGAAAGATAATTGGCTATCTTGAACAAATATACGTAGAATAACAAGCAATGGCAGCCATTTTGAAAATCTTGAAAATTGCTTGTTATTCTACCTATATTTTTTTCAAAGGACAAATCTGCGATGGCCCTACAGCCAAATATCTTTCTCATGACATACTCTGACTGTGTGCCAAATGCCATGCTTGTATCATCAAAGGCACAATTCCCCCAAATATTTCCCCTATCTGCCCCACTGTAAAATAATGTTAACTTCCGTTTCACCTCAATATTTGGGTTTTTTCGGTTCCAATGCATCCAAATTTGGAGGTTGCAATCATTTAGGTTTGTAGCCCCTTCTGTAAAAAAAGCTTCCAAAAGTTCCAAAATCTTTTTTTAAAAATCCAATTGCCAAATGGATATACAAATATACACACAAATACACCATCCATGCCAAAACCAGGCGCCTTCCAGCTGATTTACAAAATTCAAATTTGTAACTTCACCCATTGTAATAAGGGAGCAAAATCCTTTTTTTGACTGGAAGTTTCTTTCTTTTATCAGCAACCGCCTGGTTTGCCATGGGACATCACAATATTATTCACATACATGTACATAGAACAATGCACACATTCACACATTACTTTTGAATGTCACAACAAAAATGGAATCATTAAACACAAAAATACCTCAATTTCTTATGTACAAAAATATGTGAACAAACAAAACAGAATTTTAGACTTAATGAAAATCTTTTCTTGAAATAGAAAAAAAATAGAAGAGCAAGAATTTGGTAAAAATCTTTAAAAAAATTCATGTGGAATGTGACAGTAATGCTGTTTGTATCTCCAGACATAAAAGTCGCATACACAAAGGTTATATAACTGCTACATAGGATAAACAAAACAATTCCCAACACATTATCCTTTCACTGCATAGATTGTACAAAAAAATAGCGATGACCAACTAACAAACAAAACAACTGTACAAACATAACTCATTATTTTCACTAAATATTGGCATTCCTCTGACTTCTGTTTGTTTATCAATCCAAAGCACAACAATCTTTCAGTCCAGTCCAACTGCTACGCTACTTCTTAAAAACCAAACTGCCACATCAACATTAAAATAAAATTCACATCTTTATGTTTTTGATAGTTTACTTAAAGTTATAAACTCACTCTACAAACAAATCTTTTCTTTTTTTTTGGTCTTAAAAGTTATATATGTATAACTGAAAAACACACACATTCGTCTAATTTTTATTGATATAAATCTGTAAAAGTTGCACTATGCCCTTTAACATACCACTACAATTATGTAACATCCACAGATTGATGAAGAGTCATTCTAGCCCAGTGTCGCGTAAACAAATAATCATTCTCAATTGTATTTCTGTCTCTACCCATTCAAAAAAATTTAAACCGTATTTTCCCATCTTTGCCCTTCATTGAGGCAACTTGGAGAATCATGCAAAACATTAAAAATGCAGAATATTGGTTTCGGAGCTTTTTGTGTCGACAATTCAGATAACTTTTTCAGGGCACTCTCGTCCAAACAGTTGAGAATTGTTCAACTGCAGTAGAACATCGCTTTTTTCCTAACACGGTGGGGTCGACAACAGATTTTGGGTGTAGTGGTCATTGTTATGGAACGTTTTGTCTATCAATGCTCATTATAATTTCATGTAACATCCCGGAGCCGAAGGAGATAATTATTAGTTATAGCCATATGTTGGGTAAAGTGGTATTTGATACAGCGACCTTTTACTGTCGTTGAAATCATAGCATCAGCACATAATTATACTGCTATTACATTAAAATATGCAAGTTGAAGTTTTATAGGAATTCAGTACATTCATGCATAATATATTGGATCTACAACGTCCTATTGTTTCACGTCTTTTGTGTCCTGACTAGACTTTTCCAGTCAAGGGCAAATAATGAATGGTTTACAACATACTGCAAATATTGCGAATTGATGACTTAAATAAAATGGAAAACTTCCGTTCAATCGATCATGCTGATATTTGGGTGTGGCTGTGTCACTGTCTAGAATAGAGTGTTTGGTACCAAGACAACAACTGAACGTGAAGTGGCGAGACTTGCACGCTCAATTTGGGTATTCTGCATGAGTGCGCCCTCTGTACAACATCAAAACTGTTTATCAGTACAGTAGGCACTATGATTGAAAACTAGACAGTATCTGTTGATGAAGCACAATTGGTTATCAAAACAATTATTATGCACGTTTCAAGGGTACATATCAAGGATGTTCTATTCCTCATCATCAATCTTTTATTTCTACTATATTTTATTTTTCTAACAGCTCCCATTAGTTTTGTACATGTTTTTTAATCAAGGTTGTCCTCGATTTGACTCCTGTCCTCAATTATTCGATGATGCCCCACATGTGTGTCCTGGATTTACACCATAAACAAACCCACAAATACACAATTATTTTGCCCCCTTTTGAAAAATGGATTATTGAGGGTGGATGTGTCGACTGTGTGGTGTAGAAATAAATTCTGGAATCTCAGTAAATATTGCCGAGCCAGAGTTTATTTATGAAGGTTTTGTTTAGATGCTTAGAAGATTATTGAACCATTTTCTTTTCAAAGTCACAAGTGTTGTATTAATTAATCACAGCCTTTTGGGTGTTAATTCCTCTTAAAAATGGCCAGTCAGAGAGGCCTTGCTCCCAGACACTGCCTTCATGGGGATATGCTCAGTGCCACCCACCCCGGGCAAGCCGGTAGTCACAGCCGACACATAACTGGACATTTCACTGGACCTGGCCGCCTTTCCGCTGTAGCTGGGCGGTGCGTCCACCGCCATGCCTACCTCCACCAGGTTGTTATTCTGCCCGACCAGGGTGACTCTGGGTGGGGCGGTTGCCACGGTGCCGCTGTAAGGCTGGGCCGCGCCTGCCTGGGTGCTGTACCCCTGGGTGGGGATGTTGTACATGGGTAAGTTGTCAATGGGCGCCGTGGCCATAGGTTGGGCGTAGCCCATGCCGTACTGCCCTTGGACCACTGGGATCCCGATCACTGCCACTACAGGTTGCTGCTGCATTTGTGGCTGCAGCTGCAGCTGGGGCTGCTGTGGCTGTGGCTGTCGCTGGGATTCAGCCTGCAGATCAGTTGTTGACACCTTGGTCTTCTTGCCGCAGTATTTGCAGATGAAGACGGCGATAAAGACAATGACAAGCAGCCCTAAGGCAGCGCTGGCAGCAATGATGATGATAAGCTGGGTCGTCACTGCAAAAAAAATATAGAAATTAAAGAGAATTATTACTTGCCTGGTCAAGTGATTTTGCAATTTACTTGACCTCGTACATATTCATCAGAATGAGAAGAATTCTAACTGGTCAATTTACTGTCATAAACATATGCCGGCACATTTTTGTTTGCTGTAATTACAAAACAAGCTCGCAAAACACAAGTCGAGATGGTTTGTGTCAAGAATTATAAAACAACCAAATGTAAAGGCACTTCTCTTAGGTGCATTTTGGCCAATAAGGCCCGTTCTAGACATCGTGCTACTGCCAAAGTTGTGAACGTTCAACCAATAAAACGGTAAAAGGCACTGGATATCTTCGGAGTCAAATTTAACACTGGAAAAGTGTTGAAGACCAAAGGGCTCTCGACCAACGGGAATGGGTAAACTGTCTTAGGTAATTATGAACAGTATATAAATCTTCAAAGATTTAGTGAATACTCACGTTGAAAACCTTCAGGCACGCTTGTAACTGTGAGAGAAGTAAAAAATCAATAGGTGAAATCATGCATTAGAATTAATAATTGAAAGATAGAACAACGATTTTGCTACAACCAAAACTGTTATCAAAATTTTGTTTGTAATCTTCATGAATAAAAAGGTTACAACTTACAACTGTAATTATGTGTCTTGTTTCTTATTTAGATTATTGTTATTTATTATCGGCGGTCTCGGTCTCGGTCTTAGTCTCGGACCATATCGGTCTCAGTCCGCCTTGAAGGGGCTGGTCTCGGCCTCTGTCCGCTTTGAAGGGGCTGGTCTGGGTCTCGGTCTCGAAACTTCACTTATCAGTCCTGGTCTCGGTCTTGGACTATCTTGTCTTGACTACAACACTGCAAATAACCCACTGGTCACGGTATCGCCCTGTTTCTCCCTCCCAAAACAGCCTCCACTGTATGGTTCTACCGATTCGTCAGGGAATAAAGACAATGTAATGCATTGCAAAATACAAGCACTAATGAGGTAATACTCACCAGTGTCGCTGGCCTCAGTGGTTGAATCGCTCGGCCAGGGCAGCCCCATGACAGTGAAGGTGGTCAGGTGGTCCGTAGCGCAGGTGAAGGTCCCGTCTCCGTTGTCCGTTGTGTCCAGGCCGTACGTGCTCCAGGTGCTGCCGTCCCAGTATACGCACTCGTAGTCCGCCTCTGACATCGCGTTGGTGATGGTGAAGCCCAGCTGGACCTTCGTGGTGAGGCCGCTGATGTTCAACTTTACGTCTACACGGAGAACAAGAGAAACAGAATTTCAGGAACCACCAAGTAAGTGAGACCTACAGGGTGAGTCAAAAAAAGCGGAACCCAAACCCCAAAAATTATATTTCATATTGAAAGAAACACGTAGCACCAAAAATTATAATGACTGGAAAGCCAATTTCATAAGCTACTTTTAGATGAAAAAAATACTGAAATTGCCCAATCCGTTCGAAGAATATCGCCATTTTAATACAATGACCCTAAAACCTGTCTCATCCAAAAATGCGATTTCAAGAATCGTCGTCATAGTTGTCTTCAATCATCACCAGTGATAAAACCTCAGTTTAAAAGTAAAAAATATTCAACAAAGTCCTTTTGAAGGCCCGTCTATTAAAAACAGTGGATTTTATCAATCATATTGTTTGCCTAACCAGGGTTGTTAATAAAGATATTATGTACTACTGTTCTTGACAGTTGATGAAACAAGTATTCTGTGTCATTTTCTTTGTTGTTCCAAACAGTCAAAACACACAATAAATTGCTGTTTTTGGACGAGACAGGTTTTAGGGTCATTGCGTTAAAATGGTGATATTCTTTGAACGGATTGAGCAATTTTGGTATTTTTTTCATCTAAAAGTAGCTTATAAAATTGGCTTTCCAGTCATTATTATTTTTGGTGCTACATATTTTTTTAAATATGAAATATATTGTTGGGGGTTTGGGTTCCGCTTTTTTTGACTCGCCCTGTGTATAAAGGGAAGAGTGGCATGGGTGGCACAGTGCGTAAAGCGCTTGCTTCTCACCGCTGTGGCCCGGGTTCATCATGCATGTCCTCTCTTTAACAAAATGGTTCTCAAACCCCGCATCTCGCCTGTTTTCTTTTCAATTTTTTTGAAAGAGTCACTAATCAGGGGCCAATTTCACGGTGCTGGTAAGCACAAAAATTTGCTTAGCACAAAAAAAAGTCTGGCTTACAGAAGCAGGTTACCAGCCGAAACTCCATGTGATGTACACTGATCTTGATTAGTATGAAGCTGTTGTTTGCTGTAACATGACAACCACGTAGCAGTTTGTTTTGCTTAGCTGCGCCGTGAAATTGGGCCCAGGGCCAGAATGCTTGGTGTGCATTGTAGAGTGGCAATGGCAAGGAGTAGTATAATGAGGATGAGAGGGCCCTGATCAGTGCAGAAATAATTGTGGGTAGTAATGAGGGTGGAATTGTAAGGACGGCTAATAATTATAGAAACATTACACTGAATTGCAGCATGAAGTGAAGACTCAACAGTCACGCACTTTAACATGGAGGATGTGGTCTGTAACAGTAAAACTGACCTTGGTGTGTGACCTTTGACATCATACGAAGGTTGCCATGTTGCACCCACGACCCAAGTTTGGTTCCGACTGGACTTCAATTTTTCAAATGAAACCAATTTTTTGAAACTTTAACCAAAATACCACATACACACATGCATACATATGGCCATACACACGGACATACGGACAGACATAGTAATTGCATGGTCTCCTTCCAAAAACAAACACCTAAGATTGAGCTGAAATCAACTTCTGACTCACTTCCACTGATCAGGATTATGTATATGACCATCTACAGCCATGTTTGCGCTACGGCATAGAATGCTCTCTCCAACTAACCTGATTCCGGGTCGGCCAGTTCAATATCCAGAATGTCAGCCACCCGATTGTTGATGTGATCCTGGTCGGTGGACAGGAGATCCACACCGGTGTCATAGTGTTGGATCTTGAGAGTCACGCCCGAGCAGGATTCGCCGGAACTGCATATCCACGAGGCGCCGAAACTATTGCATGGATACCAAAAGTGAGACTGGTCAGTTGTAGAAGTGGATGTACAGCTAGTCCAATGACAAACGCTTTATGGGTGCCTGAAGGGTAACTTTGGTCAAGGTGTATGGTTGGCAAAGTGTGATTGGTCAGTTGAAGATTGCAAGGTGCATTTATGATTGGTCAATTCTCACAGCTGAATAACAAGCGAGGTGTGATAGGTCAATTCTTAAGGCTGAATGGTACGCACTTTATGATTGGTCGATTTTGCAAGGCTGAATGAAAAGCATGTTTATTGGTCAACTGTCATGGCTAATGACAAGTACTTCATGATTGGTCAATTCTAATGGCTGAATGAAAGGCAAGGTGGAATGAAAGGCAAATTGTGATTGGTTAAATCTCAAGGTTAAATGAAAGGCAAAGGTACAATGCAAGGTAAGACGTGAACGGTCAGTTCTCAAGGCTGAATGAAAGGCGAGGTTTGATTGGTGAATAAAAAGTAAGGGATGAATGGTGCAATTCCAAGGCTGAATGAAAGGAAACGCATGATTGGTTGGTTTGCTGGTCAATTCCTGGCACTGCGCAGGTGGATTTTGCAGACTGTATTTTGTTCTTCGCTTTTTACTTTGTTGGTTGGAGCTCTTCGGCATCATGGCACAAATTCTGAGAGTCGGACGCACTGATTGCAAAAGAAAACATGCTATAAATGTGGCTGGCCACCACTATTAGTAAAAGTCTTTTAAAAAGAGGAAAACTCACAGTCCGGCCACCTCAGAGCCAAAGTCGATGGAGATGGGTGTGCCAGAGGATGTGGAGTCGATGGGATCACTCAGTAGGGTTCTCATAACGCTGGAGACACCGTCCGTACCTTCAATCTCACTGCGTGGGGAGCCCACAGACAGACCGCTGGCCAACGACGCAGCCAACTTGCCTCTCACCGTGCTGTTGAGTGGATGGGGAGGAGAGTGAATTCAAAATCATGAATTTCTATCATCAGTGGGCAAGTGTGGGCATCTAACAAAGTGGCAACAGTTGAGATTTTTTTAAAGGAAAGCAGGTCCTTCTAATAGGAACTCAACCCTTCTTCCATAGAGAACAAGTCTGGACTACTTGTAAGTATGCAATAAAGTACGTTCTTAGTATGTCTTCTTGTCCAGTCGTCCTCCAATATGCACATGTATAGACTTATTCGGTGACAGAAAGTCGCGTTCAAGAAGTAAACATGCGCTTCGGGCTCCTTCAACCAATAAGGTAACCAATGTGTGATTTTGCCTTGTCTTTAAGAATGCACGCGGCATGAGTGTGAAAATGGTTTGACCTAAAAAATGGCTTCTAATTTTGTTCACCAATGTTGAAATTAGTCTATATGTTGAATTATATAACCGACATACAGATGCTTGTCATTTGATTGGTGGAACTCACATCACTAGTCATTCGTTATTACTGCCATTCATGCCGGGGCTCAATAAGTACTATCTGCCCATAGGGAATGGGAAATACTACTGAACAGTTAGGATCAGTCTTGTTCCATGACGCGGTATTTGTGTGCAAATGCATGCTGGTGTGCGCGTTCAGCCTAGCGCGTATTGTTTCAAAGAGCCAGCCCTACAGCGTTTGGTTCAAACATTTTCGTGAAGGGGTGGGTTGGAAGAGAGAAATACATTTTTCACCAATTTTGTATTGAAATAAAAGTTCAGATATATCAAATGACAAGGATCTATATGTCAGTTATATAAAACAAATATTGAGTGGCTTTCAATTGTGAAATGGGAGGAATATTATCGCTCTGTAAAATCTGGACTTTTCCAGTTAACGAGGCTTCGCCTTATGAAATGGAAAAGTCCAAATTTTACCTTGCGATAAGATTCCTCCCATTCCACGCTGATCCACTCAATATATTTGTATAATATTTAAAAACAAAATTACCCTACCTACTGACCCTGTTGGCAATGTTACTGGAAACCCAATATTATTTTGTTCAGCCTTACCTGATTTGAGACAGCAGGCTTTCGTGGTAGACCGGATCCAGGCCCTCACTGATGACATCCAGCTTGCCTGAGACTGTGGTAGCACTAGCCTCCGGTACCGGGACGTCTTCCTCAGAGAACGCATCGATGAGGGTCCCAAGATAGCTCACAAAGTCACCTGCAAGGTACGGATACCAGTCAGTGTAACAAATCACAAAATGTCGGTGAAGGGCAAAACCTATAATTTAAATCCCAAAATGCATATAGTATACAAATATTGAGTGGCTCAACGTGGAATGGGAGGAATATTATCGCAAGGTAAAATCTGGACTTTTCCATTTCACGAGGCGAAGCTGAGTGAACTGGAAAAGTCCAGATTTTACTGAGCGATAACATTCCTCCCATTTCACAATTTAAAACCACTCAATATTTGTTTGATATAACTGACATATAGATCCTTGTCATTTGATATATTTGAACTTTTATTTCAATAAAAACTGGAGGAAAATGTATTTCTCTCTTCCAAACCACCCATTCACGAAAGTGTTTGAACCCAACGCTGTAGCGCTGGCTCTTTGGAACAATACGCGCTACACGCAATGCTGAACGCGCACACCAGAATGCATTTGCACACAAATACCACATCATGGAACAAGAATGATCCTAACTGTTCAATAGCACTTCCCATTCCCCATGGGCGGATAGTACTTTTTGAGCCGCGGCGTGAATGGGAGCAATAACGAATGTCACGTGATGTGAGTTCCACCAATCAAATGACAAGGATCTGTATGTCGGTTATATGATAAAAGACATGACTTCATCTTTGGCAGGGTTGGATGTGATCAAAATAACACTATGAATCAGAATTATCTGAACGCTTCTGCTCCGGAAAAATTGTCTGAGAAATTAACAGTGGTCACCAGACATTTGGTCACCATTTCAGCCATTCTGTAATCCCTCTTACGTTTCAGATATTTCAAATGGCTGAAACGTAGCCTATCAAGAAACTGGCTAGTCTATGCCCTGGCCCTGGTATAGCCGGCCATGGTCTATGATATGTAAGCAGATTCGGTAATTAATTATGCAACTAGACTGCGTGTGACCTCGAAACACTGACCAATCAGCCGGCGCCTTCCATAACACGTGTAATGCGAACTCCCCGCGTGCGTAAACATCATGCCCACAATGAGTAGCATTTTTGTACAAAGTGTTGTATTACAAAAACATGGCATCGAAATTCACCTATCAAACTCTTGGTCCAGATTTCAGAATGAAATTGCGTCACCCTTTTTTTTTTTTTAGATATATCACCTTATCAGCACCCCTAGATGGTACCAGCTCCCCCCCCCCCCCCAACCATTTGATTTTACGGAGGCCAAGTGTAGAGTCCAGGGGAAAAAAGTGTCCACATTTAAGCTCGAACGTGCAAGTGCCCTTGTCAAGCAATTTTTACCCCCCACCCAATAAAAATGACCTTGCTACACCCGTTTTTATCAATGCGCACTGAAGTCAAAAGAACATGTCTGAATCTGTAACACCCATAACGGTCATTTATAGTGCTTATATCTAATTAATTAATTCAGTCAACCATGTCATGTTATACATTAAGACCTAAACTAGAGTTGCACCGAATATATAAAATTTGCCTTTCCTGCAAGTATTCTATCTGTTTTTTTAAATTGGCAGGTAGCCTCTGAATGTAACGTCATTTACATACACAAACATATCTTTTTTATACCCAAATTGCATCATTTAAGCACAATCATTGGGTTTCTGCAAAGCATGGCCTTATCCTGTAACAAAACTCCACACAGGTTACTGAATGAGTTGTCTTACTTTGGTCGGCCAGCACCATGGTGGTCGGGTCGACCGATTCCGTCTGGTCAAGCAGCAGCTGAGCCCGGCTGGACGTCATGACAGTCTCGTCGATGGTCAGCTGGATCAGTTCCAGCTGGTCAGCGGTGGTGTCGGACGTCGAGTCCTGGGCGGCCGTCCGGCGTCTGCGCCGTCGGCTGACCAGTCCCCGATCAGAAACCATGTTCAGGTTGGTTAGGGCCAATGAGAAATCACCTTTGAAAGAAAAAAAGAGGGCGTTCAGTGACCATTAATCCCTTAGGGTTTGCCCTTTTATACATTTAGAATCCACAAAGTACCAGAGCAGTGGAATATGGGCTCCGTGCGCCAACAAAAGAGGGCGCACTTTTGACACTTCTGAGAGCCCCTTGGAAGGGACACCGCATGTGCGCACTGTAATTCTCGTGCGAAGTACGCACTACTTTGTTTTATCCTGAATATGCACAAAGCCAAACCACAGCGTCTTTGGATGTGAGAGTCAGGCATCATCGGCGCGCATGTATGTTCGATAACGTTCAAATTAAACTTGCGATGGTCTCCCAGACTAATCCCAGACCCCAATAACTTTGGACCATTTGAAATACGCAGTGGATGGATCAGGAACCAGTCTAGATCACCCCCAACTCTCCTTTTCTGGCCGTTGATGGGGTACTTGTGCACGGAGTCGATTGTTGGTATCCTACGAGCATGAGTAGAACATGAAAAAACGTAGTACGTCTGTGTCCCATGTGCCATTAGTTATCCTTCGAGCACTAGGGAACACGAAAAACATAGGGTGTCTGTGTCCCATATTCGGGGCAGCGCCAGAAATTTGTGCGGGGGGGGGATTCAGGTGCCTGACAAATACAGATAATACCCCTACAGAATGGGTTTTTTTTGTGCCGGAGCAGGGGGGATTTCGACCCCCAAAGCGCCCCTCTGGATTCATGCCTGCATATGACTGGCATGTGGATCATAGATACACTCAATGTCCTGTTTTCGAAGAGCACGAGTGGAACTCAGTGGAAAACCAAATTTGTTTTCAAGCAAACTTGACAAACAGTAGAGATGGAATTACTTGCACGCTGTAGGAACTTCTCAGTTGTTATCCTATTACATTTGCATGAAGCAGAAATGATGTCGTCGTGTCCGTGCAACAAGGTCATGTCTCTTAAAATGGCATGTGACGTCATGTACGTGAAATGCGAGTTTTCAATGTCAAAAGGTCATATCTAGCTGAAAGCTACAGTCCATCATTTGTAATTTGTGCATTTTGTTCGTTTGAAGCAACAAAAGAGTTCAAAATCTAATGAAGGATACTGAGCAACTAACCTGATGAAGTTTCAGCTAAGCTTCAGCTGTACATTCCGAGAAAAACAGCATTCTAAGATCTCAATTTCAAATCAAAAGTTACTGAATCATGTTTTGAATTGTTTTGAATTGCAGCTATACTGATCCGACGAATTATAACAACCGTGCGCGCATGTGCGTCGTTCCAATACTTGTGTGCGCTGCACTGAATAACAAAACGAACTACTAATTTAAATTTTCCTACGGTGCTTCTTAAGAATCACCGTTGGAAATGCCTTCTTTCGTTGATTACTTCAAAATGACAGCTTCCCAGAAAGAATAATTTCACAGGGAGTTTAGTTCCCTTACTATCTTTCAACTAAGTTTGTTTTTCAACAATAATTACGCCAGTTACTTTTCGGATGGCTGCAAATGATGGACTCTAGCTTTAAAATATACCAGATGTACACACAAAGTCAATGGATGTCGCGATACGCGAGATACGACCTTGTTGCATGGAAAGCATTTGCGCGAGATACAAGTTTTCTTGCAGAATCGAGTTATGACCTTGTTGCACTGACGCAACGATGTGCGCACCTTGTAAATAATAAATGCAATATACAGGGCAGGATGTTCAGCTTATATCTCTCATTCATAAATACCTAAGACAGTTTACGCATTCCTATTGGTCGAGAGTCCGTCACGTGTCCGGTCTTAAACGGATGATAAAGACATGGCTAGCTGTTATTAAACACTTTTCCAGTGTCACATGAAATTTGGACACCCATGAAATCAGGTGCTTTCTAACGTTTCATTGGTTGAACGTTCACATTCCTCACGTGTGCATGCGCAATGTACTACCAGTGAATCAGTATTTCATAGTCCGAAATTCACACTACACCAGCCCAGCTGCATTTTGCGCAACATCGCGCAGTACGCGCGACGCGCACGCAATGTCCTTATAAGGTAACAAGTTATGGAGGGTCATTCCATATTAAAGTCAGAGGGGTGAAATTGTAAAATTGAAGTAAAATTGTTGAACAAAATGGTTGGTAACGTCTAGTTTTTGACTTCTTTTGATTTTTGGAACGAAAAGATTTGGTTTTTTGACCGAAAAGATATTTATGAATGGGAATAAATATGTGTTCGGTCGGTATTAAACACTCTGTTTAAGACCGGTGGGAGTCTGGATGGGTGATAATTACCCATCCAGACTCCCACCGGTCTTAAACAGAGAGTTGTAATACCTTCCGAACACACATTTATTCCCTTATTATTAAGGACTACATATGTTGTTGTGTCTCTGAGACCTGGGGCCAAGGGAAATGCGACAGTCATTTTAAAGCCATCTTATAATCAAAGACAAGTGCATATATTTGAAAACAAATAGTGTCTCACCAGCAAATTTGGGAGTGTTGACTTGGTCAGAGATGTAAGCAGTGACCTCAGATGCCGTGAAGGATGTCTTCTCTAAGACGGTCACGTTGCCTTCGTAGAAAGAGCAGATATCATTGCCATCGCATACCTATAGACAACCAGAAATGAACAACAAAATGTAGTCATTTATATCGGGTGCTGAAAATTAATGAAGGGAAAAGGCAGAGTTGTAATGACTCGAGTCAGTGACTCGACTCGAGTCCGACTCGAGTCACAATTTTTGGTGACTCGACTCGACTAGAGTCCCTAAGTGCAAATGACTCGACTCGACTTGAGTCACTGCGAGCAAATGACTCAACTCGACTCGAGTCCCTCATCAGAATGACTCGACTCGACTCGAGGAAGGCTAATAAGACCCGAGTCCCAAAAATAAAAGCAAAAATATTTGCAATGACTTACGCCGGTGACGGTTTTTGTACATTATACATTAAAATGTTTGCGAATAATGTATATACATACGTGGCTTGATCAGCGTACCCATTAGTTCAATTGCGATCAGCTTGCACCCCCCTTTTTATTTTCATTAAAAGTCAAATTTAAAAGTCATTAAATGTGGTGTCACCACATGTAGTAACCCCAAATGTAAAATTTAAAAAAGCCAAAAATATGACTTTCTCTCTTGTGTTTATTTATTGTATAGTGTTCAAATATTTGTGACTCGAAATGACTCAAGCTAAATACTTGACTCAACTCGACTCGACTACACACTGTGACTCGATTCGACTCGACTCGACCTTCTTGACCTAATGACTCGACTCGACTTGAGTCACTTCTTTAAAATGACTCGACTCGACTCAAGTCACAAAAATCAGTGACTCATGCGCTATGGAAGTGGCTGCATTCACTTCCTGTAGAAACCAGTGTCACTTTCAGACATAGCCAAGTAATTTGGACTTAAGACTTGCAATGGCCTCAGCTTCTAATACTTCATTTGCTATGAACTCAGTCAACAACATAGAGCTATATTAAATTACTAGAGCGCTAACTCATGTACAAAGTGATGCCTGCTGGGCCCATCCATGTTTGTACACAAACCTATGGAGAACTTGAAATTGTGTACGTATTTTGTATGTCTATTTGCATATATCTGCGTTTGTATTCCATACCGGTGTATCATCGAAGCCGATACGCCAAAAACTGAAATGCACAATCAGCAAATGAGCGTGTCAGTTTGCTCTACGCAAACAGCGTAACGCGTGTGCATATCCGCTGCAGCCTTGATTAACCGTGTTTATTTTTTAACCGTAACACGTAAGAAGTTTACGTATGTTTTACTTGCGCGTTGCATGTAGAGTACACTTTCAAAATTCCATCCATCTAATTTCATTATGTTTTACAAACACGCACATGAATTCAAAATGTCTGCACGCAGGACGCCTTCAAAACGTCTCGGCACGCAAGAATGAGGAATAGCACTCTGGTAATTTAATATAGCTCTATGGTCAACAATTCCCCCCCCCCCCCCCCCTCAACAGACAAAGCACTCATGCAAATTGTAGTCCGGTCAGGTCGGTTTAGGTTTTACGATTGCAACTTTCTGGTCAGGTTGGGTGGGGTTGGTTAAGCCATTTTGGAACACGAAAAACACACCCCAAAACAAAAACCAAACAATTCTGAAATTCATACGGTACAATTTGCAGAGTCGCTGTGCCCAGTACTACCATAACGGTATGTGCCGTACTATCACACACAGTCTATGACATGTAGGACGTTTGGTATGATTCATTTACTGAGAGACAACGATTTTAACTTGTCGCGGGTTCAGGCACCAAATGCAGACTCAGTTGCCCAAGCCAGATATTCAGGGTTTTTTCTGTTCGGTATTGGGTCGGTTCAGGCCGGTTTTCCTTGAATTTTTGTCGGGTCAAGGTGGTTTTAGGAAGTTCGGATCTGTTTCGGTCTGGTAAATCTCTATAATGTTTTGGGTCGGTTTGGCCTGGTCAACCCGACCAGATGCACAACACTAACCTGATGCCCAAGTGACGGTACTATGGCTTTGTACACACTCAGAATAAAAAAAGTTGTGCGTACTTCACCGTGCGAAGCAGTATGCGCATGCACTGGGTCCCCTAAGGCCCCCCCAAAAAAGTCTCCGGTTTCTGGTATGGAGCTTGCCCAAAAAGTGGTGCGGCGACGCGGCTTTTTTTTTTTTTACCTGACTTTTTTGCTTCAAATGTCGGCTGATGACTGCAAATGGTGCCCGACTAAACTTAGTGCAAATATATGGGAGTCCAGAGAGGCCACATAAAGCTTATTCTCGATCATAACCCCATCTAAAAACACGTTAAAATTGTGCAGCAGCAGGATTCCAGTCAAACCAGTGAGTTTGGCGGTTTTGTGACATCATCTTTCATTGAAAAAAAAACTTTTTCATTTTGCTGACGCGCAAGGCTTCGGCGACGCGCGCGCATACCAGAAACCGGAGACTTTTTTTTTTTTGCCTAATGGAGCTCTTAAAAGCGGTCCAAAAGTGCTCTCTCTTGTTCACCCACAGAGTCCATAATGCCCTGGGGCCATATTCATGAAACCTTACTAACTTAGCAGCCAACTAGGCCTTAGTTGGATACTAAAATACCTAGTAGTCTACTATGGAGTTGACAACTTAATTGTTATTCATGAAACCTTACTACCTTGCTAGCTAGTTACATACTAGGGGAATTTAGTTGCATACCTGAGTAACTGGAATTCGGTTCTTTTGGATGGAGTGGGCATGTATGGAATGTGATGACAACAGATACAATAGTGTGACAGCTAATCCATGTCCAGCACTTGCATGGATTAGCAAAAAGAGAAGGAAATAAGTGACCAAGGTCTATATGCGGTATATAGTATACTGCAAGTAGGCCAAAGTGAATCAACATCAAATTCTCAACCAATTGCATATCAAGCAAAAAGGGCAAGGAAGGCAAATTATTCTCAAGAAGAGAACTCTTTATGGCAGACAAGTATGAGAAAATTAAAAGATATTATTGATGCTAAGCATAAGGATGCAAACACTAACAAGAAAAAGAAAGATGCATGGGCATGCTATTCTCAGTCAACACCGTGCAAGATTTCCACAGGTTGAAAGATCATTGGATGATTTAAAAATTAGATTATCCACATTAAAAACTGAGTCAAGAGAATGCCTGTCAAGTATGAGCAAGTCCAAGAAAGCAACCGGAGGGAAAACCACCTAAAAAGCCAAGTCTGACACAACAAAAATGATATAGTTGCTAACTAGTGACTTAGTAAGCAACGCAGAATGTAACTAGCATTAGCAATGTTTCATGAATACCAATTAGTTACCAACTAGGCGTAGTAAGCAACTACATGCCTTTTTAGTAACCAACTAGGCTAGGTTTCATGAGTAGGGCCCCTGTTCGTTACCTTCATGATGTAGATGCGGATGTTGGAGCTGGGCAGTTGTGGGGCACCGACCGATGTGAACGAGGGTTCCGGGGTGGTGTCTTTGAAAGCTGACACGCTGCCGTCTGCCTTGACCACATGAAGCTGATACTGCAATGGCTCTGCCTCTGACACGCAGTTCTCAATGCTAAATGTCACCTGCAAGACAACAAATAAACATGAGATCCTCAAGCAATGGACCAACCCATAGGGTTACATCCAATGCATACGTGGACAACAACATGTGGGGGAGGGGGGGGGGGGGCAAGGGTGGAATTTGCCCCCCCCCCCAAGTTTTGTTTTTTTTCCCCCCAGTTTTCCCAGAACACTTTATCTTCAAGTAGATTAATTATGTTGTTTTTCTTTGCTGTTAAGATTCATACAATTTGGGGCTAATGAAAGCATTAGAACACTGGTATTTAAGACAAATCACGACACTCATGCATTTATACAGCTGTAGATAGTGTGCAGCCAACATCTTTGTACATTTGTTATACATTTCGTTATACACCATTCTGCAGTTTGATACATTTCTCATTCATGAAAATGACTACACCTCTAAGTTGCTCTTGTGGCTTATTGCCGTACCGTTGACAATGGTTCGCGCACGCATACACAGGCTTGAGACTTTTCTTATGACTGCCCCCAAAGAAATTATTTTCCCAATTTCCCCCCAAATGTTAAAATCTGGCACCGCCACTGCCTTATTCCAGACGCATGCGTCATGTGCAAGTGAACAAATGACATTCTGCATACGTGTCGGACGTGAACCACAGCTATGATTTGTCAAAACATCAAGATGCAGGGCATTTGACTGTTCTACTGTCTTTGTTATTTTAAAACCGAACCGGAAACAAAACCGAGCTTTGAAAAAAGCCATTGTGTATATTTTAGCCTGATGGCAGCTACCTGACCCACCATATGGGCTCCGTGCACAAGTACCCCTTCAACGGCCAGAAAAGGAGAGTTGGGGGAGACCTAGACTGGTTCCCGGTTCATCAAATGCGTATTTTGAATGATCCGAATTTGTTGGGGGCGGGGATTACTGTGGGAGACCATCGCAGGTTAAATTTGAAAGTATTCACGCGCCGAGGACACCTGACGCTCACGCGAAAACGCGGTGGCTGTAGCTTCGGCACATTCAGAAAGTCGTGCGTACTTCGCACGCGAACCAGTACAGTAACACACACGCTGTGTGTCCCAACCACAGACTTTCAAAACTGGTTAAAAAAAAGCGTCCTCTTTTCTTGGCGCACAGAGCCTACAGACAACATTCCAAGCCAGTTTTGAGATTTGATATAGCGTTTTTTTAAGGAAATATCAGATTACAAAAAAAAATGCAAGGAGAAATTCTGTAACTGCAGGAGATATTTAGATAGCTGCACTTTCTTCTAATGAAAAGGCTGACAAGAGGCAGACGAACATGAACACTAAGCGAGAGAATTCATACCTCTTCAAACTCGGTATAGTTGTCCGGCAGTACAAAGTCGCACGATGTCGGGCCAGACAGCACGCTGATGTAGGTCTTGACTGAATTCGTCTGACCGTCCACGGTGGTTGCATTGATCCGGATGGAATAGGAAGTACCACGGCTGACCACACCTACGTTTAAGTAAATGAACTTTACAGTGTAAAAAATACAGTGCATGAAGCAGAGCTGTCGTCCAATCACAATTTTGGTCGAGAGTAAATCACTAGTCACGTATGTTTGTGCCTTCCACTTAGTTTGTCTATTGTGCCCAGGTATCCCACTCGACGCCATCAGCCTTTGTCCCTTAATAAGGCTTAAATGCGGCATGACATAATCAGTCTTTTCTTACTCTAATTTTTGTTTCAATAGGTCTATTGATGCTCCGTATTCAAATGATGTAGTAGCTTTTTCGCAAGCAGTGATTTTCGTTGATTAAGATGTTTTGTTTTTTTCCTTAAAAATCTGAGTTTTTAGGGAGTAAGGGAGACCTATGGAAGTGAAGCCATCAATGTCAATGTTCCCGTCCAGGTGATAAATAGGGAGCTACAATTTTTTTAAATTCACAACTATTGATTTGCTCTTCATCAGTATAATTCATGGTCAATTTGCATGGCAAAAAGAAAGCAACGAATATTCCTTTTAAAGAAATGTAGCCCAGTTGATTATATGGTGAGTTTAATTGGAGGCTTATTTTGTGTATATCTTTTCGGGTATAACTTTGGGAAAACTCACATAATGGAAATTTTGGACATTTTATGCCACCATAGCGCCAGAATATGTTGGTAAAATGTCGCCAACATGCGAAGACTAGTGGATGTCTCACACTGTGCATGTGCAGCAAGTAACCCCCAAGTGAATACACCGGCAATAGGCTATGAACATACTTGTAGTCCAGTCACTAGTAACAGGATGAAGAATGGCAAAGGATCGCCTCTGTACCATGTAAGGGAAGCATGCAAAATTAAACAAGGATTAACTCGAGGTTTTACCCTGAGGTAACCCAGAAAACCCCGTTAAACCTTGTAAAACCTCCAGGTAAACCTCAAGTTACCACCTGTTCTATTTTGCATTCTCCTCTAAACTTGAATAGATTATGACTTGACTTGGGACTTGGCGAGTTTTCTGAGGGCATTAATGCAAGGACTGGCGATGGACTTGACTAAAAACTGCACAAAAACCAAATACACCCTTCTGTTAATCATAAAAATAATGGGTACATATGTAGCGCTTTTAACTAAGATCAAAGCGCTACATTATTACTACCCCTGATCATTGGGCCAATGAAATGTTCTAAAGACAATCTCAACTCCCTGGGGAGTATACAGATCGATGCTGCCATTTCCATGCAAAGCAGCTCAAATCAGTCACAATAACCGTCTCTGCCCTCACAGGTACCCATTTACTCCTGGGTGGAGAGAAGCAATGAGTGACAACGTGTCTTGCCAATAGACACACGTACCGCAACCCCAGGCTGGACTAGAACCCACAACCTGCCAAATTGCCTGCAGACTATGAATTCAATGCTCCAGACCATGAGTCCACAGTGCTCTGTTCATTTTGGTGCAATGCAATGAAAACTGATCTTTTCAGATAAGAAATACACCTGTAACTTTTAAACTCCTGGACCTTTTTCAATGTATTAAACTGGACACCTGTTTGATAGAAATAGGGTGCTGTCCAATCAACTTTTTGATAGTGGACACCATCAAACAACTATTTTGACAGAGAGAGGGTTTTTGATGCATAGAAACTATTACTCCATGAGCCTTTATATAGTACATATGAATTCATGTCCGATACATTTTATGAATCAAAGCTTTTGGGTAAGATGACTGAGACAAAGTTACCCGTTTTGTACATATCCTAGCAGGGGAGTGTGGCCTAGTGGTTAGGGTGTGTGACTCATGATCGAGGGTAAGAGGTTCGAATCCAGCCACTGGCAATCTGTTGTGTTCTTGGGCAAGCCACTTTGCCCCCACTTGCCCATCTCCACCCAGGAGTAAATGGGTACCGGTGTCATAAGAAAATCGGACTCCTATGAAAATCGGACTCCTTTTCCCTATTATTGATTAATCCCTCGCACGTGACACGTATGTGATCCTAAAAAGAGCATATTCTCGTACTTGCGCAAGCGCAATAATACCAATGAGTCCACATTTCATGGAGTCAGATATTCACGCTACACCAGCATTAGCTGGGGAGTAACCTGCGATGGACTGGCATCCCATCCAGGGGATAGAAATATTATCAGTTGCTTCATGCCAAGGAAACTGGAGATAAACGCCAGCACGACGGACCTAAAGGCTTTTGACAAACTTTACTTGTACTAGAGGGTTTAAGCATTTCCTCTCAACTCAGACCTACCTGCTTTGACAACCAGAAGTGCCGCCGACACCCCGTCTTCCGCTGGGAAGACCGTGGCAGGTACCAACAAGTTTGACGTATCGTCAAAGTCCAGGAAGCCATAGCCTAGAAGCAAGACAAGCAAAACAGCAAATGAGGTCATCTTCATCAACATTACCAATACAGTGGAATTTCGATGAGTCAAACCGCAGGGGAAGTGGCTCAAATTTTGCGTTATAAGCACAGTTTTGACGGGAATAAGTTTTAAGTTTTGAGTTGGAAGGGTCTTTCAGTTAAAGGGAATATATAACATTTGCTTTTGCTGAAATTTTCAAATATAAATGGATTTTGAGGATTAGTACGGTATAGCAAATATTGTTAAACTGACTTGCTTCAAGTTTTGGGTTCGGAGATGCTAAAAAATCCAAGAAAACGATCCATGTTCTTGTAGTCTAGTTCCCTGACCCCACTTAAGATGGAACGGAGCAGTCTATAGACTTTGGGAATTGTAAGGTCAGAGAATCAGTCTAGCTGGCTTGTACCCCTTCACAGTTGTGTAATCATTTGCAAAGAAAATGCAGAATACCTCAATATGAAAACTTAGGAGCAGTTTTTGTGAAAAAAAGAGCCAGTTTTCTCCAACGTTGGTAAGCGGACCATCGTTAGGAAAATACAAGTTTTCTTGAAAATGTCAGCACACCAGGAGCCTCAATTTTACAGGATGGTTTAAACTGTCATTCCCTAACAATCCAGCAAGATAGTTTGTAATAATTTGATCATCTCGTTTTTTGACGTTTGCAAATGTTATATCTTCCCTTTAACAGGTTTTGACTTTATCAAGATTTCACTATACATCATGCCAAAGCACAGGTGCCCCTATTTCTTTTGTACAACCTACGAGTCCACTTGGGGATGCTGACAGAAACAAAAGGGTCAAGGAAGTTGCTCGAAGCCAGTCATGCAGAATAGCCTTTTAAACTCAGTGGCCTTTCTGGGGGATTACAGGGGGAATCAGTATCTGAAAGATAGAGCACTAAATGGGTTCTGAAAGAGTTTGAAACAATGCAAAGTTGTTTTTGTCTTCCCCAAATTCTAAGCTCGTGGGGGTGGACCACAGGACGTGTGGAGGGCATCTTGTAGATCCCCCCTCCCCCATTTCGTTTACCACTTTTTTGTACTACAGCTGTCAAATCACCCAAGATGGCTTCTGGTTTGTGCTAGTAATGACAAAGACATGTGAGGACGTACACAATGCTCCCAATAATTTACAAATTGTAATCTCAGATACAACCCTCAATTCCAAATGTCCAGCTAATTTTACCTGATCCGGTGTCGGTAGTCTCCCACGTGACGTTGGAGAGCTCCGTGGAGTACCTGATGATGGCACTCAGGAAGAACGGCCGATTGTCCTTGACCTGGCCATTGTCAGGCCTGGGGGGAATCTCAATCTAAACAAAGGTGAACAATTTTGGGGTTGAATTTTGCTGATTTTTATTCAAAATAATGAGCAAAATACTCGGTGACGATTTCCAATTGAAACAAGACTCATTGGTGCCAGAGCGCCAGGGCTGTCCCGAAAATACCGAAAATTTGAATATTCGATAATCAAACAAAAACTCGAAAAGCTTTTTGCCAGTTTGAATATTCGAAAACAAAAAACTACGCACATACACACACGACCGTGATGTTATCATAAAGTTGCGGCCCTTTATTGTCAAGTGCCACTTTTTTTGTCGACGGTAACTTTTTTGTCGACTGCGATTCATTGTTTCTATATCTCTGTAGATCTTTTTCGAAGGTTGAAGGCCTTGATAGTTATTAAATACTTACTGCATAACACTCCATATCAATCACCGCACACAAAGTTTAAGTGGCGCGCTCTGCATGCAACGTTTGACCAGAGTGGCACGAAGTTGCAACTAGCAGTTTCGAACATCCGAATATTCGGTCAAACAAACTTTTGAGTATTTGAATACTAAATTATTCGAAAATGGACAGCCCTACAGAGTGCACAAAAATTCTATGGATTCAGAATGTTTGTATGACCAAAGTGAAACTCCGACCAAAATACAACCCAAGGATGTTCAGCTCACAACAAGGTCTGCGACATACCTTGGGCGGGTTACCGTTGACAACGGAAACATAGACCGTGGCAGAGGCTGACCGTGCCTCCTTTGACGCGACCAGGGTGAACGTGTAGGCCTTGTCAGCTTGCAGACTCAGCGCATCAAACCTGAGGTAGGCTCCGTCCAGATTGGAACCGTTGTTGATCAGGGTACCGATGCTGGAGGGGTCGTAGGACCAGCAGGCACTGTTGTCATCGGTCTGTGGGCAGAATGAAATTTTGTTTTTGAACTAGAGCAATCCCTTGACTGGAAACGCAGAAGTGATTTGATGAAACTTTCAGAGCCACCAACGAGTCTGGAAAGCGTTAATGAATACAGAGGCGGAATTTGCTCACAATAGAGAATTAAGAATAGAAATCTTGATATCGTTTCGGTTTGCAGTAACACCATGTGGTAATAACTACTGCTTAGAAGATATTAGTTCTGAAAAGAACTTGTCCTGCTTATTATCAACTTTGCTAAGTAGTTTTTTGTTCTGATAAGAACAGTCCTGCTGTAAGTTCTAAACGAACTTGTCTTTGGTCTCAACGTTTCGACTAGCCTGCTCTAGTCATCGTCAGGAGTCAGGAGAAATCTTGATGTTCACCATGCTCTTCAAAAAATTGAGTTTTTGTTTTCTGTTAATACATTTTTAAGTTGTATGTTGTATTCCAACCCCCAAAAAACTCCAAAAAAAACTTCTTCCTATTTTGGACGTCTGCACCCCTCTGAAAAAAGGATTTTTTTTTTCTTGGGGGAGGGGGGGCACGGTGCAAACAGATCCACTTTGCAAGCAGACTGGCTCCTGGTCCGTACATTATCAACACTGATTGTGGGGCGGGAACCACCCTACCCTGCCAGAACAGACATATTGTTTGGCCGCAAGTAATTCAAAATGTGTAAAGTAATAACTTTAACTAAACATGGGCCTATTTTTCGCTCGATTTCTCATTCAAAAGTGACTAACCTTTGTACTGCTATAAAAAATAGCAATTTAGAAAAGAAATCTATTTTTTGGGATGAAACTCGAAAACAGCATGGTGAATGCAACTTTAATAATAATAATAATAACGGGTTTTTATATAGCGCTTTTAACTAAGATCAAAGCGCTTCACATTATTATTACCCCTAATCATTGGACCAATTAAACATTGCAAATACCATCTCAGCTCCCTGGGGAGTATACAGCTCGATACAACCTGTTAGGCGCAAGGAAGCTTATTCAATCACACTAACCATCTCTGCCCTCACAGGTACCCATTTACTCCTGCACAGAGAGAGGCAATGAGTGACAAAGTGCCTTGCCCAAGGGCACACGCACCATGACCCCAGGCTGGACTCGAACCCACAAGCTGCAGCTTTACCCGCAAGTAATACAAAATGTGTAAAGTAATAACTATAACTATAACATGGGCCTATTTTTCGCTCAATTTCTCATTCAAAAGTGACTAACCTTTGTACTGCTATAAAAAATAGCAATTTAGAAAAGAAATCTATTTTTTGGGATGAAACTCGAAAACAGCATGGTGAATGCAACTTTAATAATAATAATAATAACGGGTTTTTATATAGCGCTTTTAACTAAGATCAAAGCGCTTCACATTATTATTACCCCTAATCATTGGACCAATTAAACATTGCAAATACCATCTCAGCTCCCTGGGGAGTATACAGCTCGATGCAGCCTGTTAGGTGCAAGGAAGCTTATTCAATCACACTAACCATCTCTGCCCTCACAGGTACCCATTTACTCCTGCACAGAGAGAGGCAATGAGTGACAAAGTGCCTTGCCCAAGGGCACACGCACCATGACCCCAGGCTGGACTCGAACCCACAAGCTGCAGCTTTACCCGCAGACCACGAATCCAGTGCCCTTAACCACGAGGCCACAGCACTCCACATCACTTACAGGGAAGTTTAGGTAGGTCTAAAACTCCTTCTTTGGTTTTGTATATGATGGCATTCATTGACTCAACTATGGCCTGACGTAGTAAAGCAAAGGCCCACTGAGAGTTCTAGTTTTTTTTTACTACAATCTGACCTGAAGACACTGCCACTCATAAGTCCACTCCCTGGCCTCCTCATCAGGATCGTAGGACAGCGATCCATCCAGGACCACCTCTCCGCTATCCCTGCCGATAGTCAGCTCCGACGGACCACGAATGATGGCCACCAAGGGAGAGGAAATAGTGACGGCTCCCATGGACGCCTCGACGTATGCAGAGGGATTGCTGGACTTGTAGACACGCACCGTGAATGTCAGGGAATTACCAGCTGCAGTTTAAAAAAAACAAGGCAAAAAATTGTAAGTGGTGTTCATTTACGGTAGTACGCAACCGGGTACCCTATTGAAGTCAAACACAGGTAGCCATGTATCCGTAAGACCCCTCTCACACCAATACGTGAAGCCATTTCGTGGCCACTTCGAGGTAACCACGAAAAGGGAATCGGATCTCACGGGTTGCCACGAACTAACCACGAATGAAAGACATGTCGATTCCTTCCGTGAGCCGATTCTCACGGATGCTCCACGAATCACCCGAAAAGTTTTTGGATATGTTGAAAAACTGAAACGAGTGCACTTCGGAATTTTATTGCTGAATTGAAAACGTGTTCAATACGGCTTATTCGAAGTACTCTCGTAGTGTTCTCGAGGTTGGGCAGAAGTTACATCAGATTTTACGGGATGGCCCCGGATTGATTGTTGGCCTGTTTTAAGGCCGTTTTCATTACGCGGTACTCGATGGTACATCAGAGTGAGCTCCGGAGTCCACAAAGTGTCCACGAGTTGGCCACGAAGTGCTCACGGACTACACGTAGTACTCTCGAGCTGGCGCCGTAGTCACCACTGACACCACGTAGTAGTCTCGAGCTGGCGCCAAAGTCATCACGGGATGCAATCGGGATGGCCACGAGATGTCGCCGGCGTGCAGTACGTGAATTCCAGGAAACGGACATGAGCACGGGTTGGTCCCGTGGTGTTTCCGAGGTGGCCACGGATTACTCACAAAGTAAAAACAGGTACCACGAAATAAAAACGTGCTGACATCAATAAAACGGACCAAAAAAATGGAGACCACGGATACTGTTGAAAACAATTGCATTTCCGAAGTGACCTCGCACTGGTGTGAGAGGGGCATAAAAGAAACCCAATCCCAAAATTTAAATCCCAGAAGTTATCTGACGTGATTTACAGCCTCACGGTTTAAATTGCAACTTTCGTCAGCATTATCTGTCGCGCGTTCAAATGTAAATGTGAAATCTGTTTTGATTTTCCATGTATCCTGGTTTTCATTTTGAAAATTCCCCACAAATGGCGTACAATTCAGTGCCTTTCTTTTCCACTGTTTGAGAAATTACTAAGTAATTTGTAAAGTTGGTTACGGGTACCCAATCCCATAATCTGGAAAGTATATGGGGCGGAGTACACATATATGTGGATGTGGACTCGGACTCGAGTCTGAAACTCAATGTAAGAGACTAATAAATTAGTTTTTTTCTTTTTCTTTTAACTGAAAGCAAAGATTTTTCTCGCAAAATATGAGTAGTTTTATTTGAAATAATAAATTATATCAGTCATCAGTCCACAAAGATGCCACTGAAGTTTCAAAAGCTTGTTTTACTTTTAGTATATTTTCATTGTTGAATTGTTGAAACTTAAAAATACACATGAACGCACTAGCACGTTTGTTTATGGTGTAAATCGAGGATTTTCTTTTGTTCCTCTTCCCTTTTCCTTTTGCAACAGCTCTCATTGGTTTTGTACATGTTTTTGAATCGAGGTCGTCCTCGATTTGGTTCCTGTCCTCGATTCACCGATGATGTTACACGTGTGTGTCCTCGATTTACACCATAAACAAACGTGACTGTGTGACTTAAAATGCATACACGTGCAGTGTATACAGTGTATACGTTAGATTTTCATCACTCGGATAAGAATTCTTCAACCTTAAAATGCTTGCAACATGAAATTCCACCCACAAAGAAGGCTGCTTAGAGTCGTACCTGGTAAGGAGTAGGTAGGGACGTACAGGGATCTTGTGTACTGCGTCTTGAGATTCAGAGCCACGTCGGTGTTGTTGACTGACCACTCAAACAGTGTCTCACCAGGAGGGACGCACTCTGAGTAGAACTTGATATGTGCGGTCAGTTCAAAGCTGTAGAAAGACACATTATTTTTGTTAATACATTAAATGCTTGAACTACGCAATAATTTGGCATTGCTCAAAACTGATGTATATTGTCTTGTCTCCAAGAGCTGCAAAATCAAGTCAATATATTTCAATGTAATTAACAATCATCCCGTCTCTATTCCATATTCCTTTCGTCATCCTTCATCCACAATTACTATGATTTGACAATTAATTGAATTTGATTGAATTGTGATTGACTCTGTGATGGACTTGTGATAGAGTCGTGATTACTTTGTGATTGACCTGTGATTAACTTCAGGATGACTTGTGATTACCTGGTGATTGACTTGTGATTGATTTGCGTTTGATTTGTGATGGACTTGGATAAAGTTGTGATTACCTTGTGATTGACTTGTGATAACCTTCATAATGACTTGTGATTACCTATGATTGGCTTGTGATTAACTTGTGAACGACTTGTGAATGACCTGTGATTGACTTGTGATTGCCTTAGGATTGACTTGTGTTTACGTTGCGATTGACTTGTGATTACCTTGAGATTGACTTGTGATTGACTTGTGATTGACTTTATGATGGACTTCTGATAGAGTTGTGATTACCTTGTGTGTTTACCTTCAGGATGACTTGTGATTACCTTGTGATTAACTTATGATTGACTTGTGATTGCCTTAGGATTGACTTGTGTTTACATTGTATTGTCATGTGATTACCTTGAGATTGACTTGTGACTGACTTTGTGATAGAATTGTGATTACCTTGTGATTGACTTGTGATTAACTTCAGGATGATTTGTGAATGACTTGTGATTGACTTGTGATTAACTTGTGAATGACTTATGATTGACTTGTGATTGCCTTAGGATTGACTTGTGTTTACCTTGTGATTGACTTGTGATTGACTAGTAATTGGCACGTGACTACCTTGTGATTGACATGTGATTGACTTGTAATGATTACCTTGTGATAGGATTTTGATCGACTTGATCACAACTCCACTCACCTGTCAGACACACGGACTGAGGTAAGGTCGACCCCACTGGACAGGATCTTGACCTCCGGGGCCGCGGTGCCGGTCCGGTGGACGGTCAGAGAGGCCAGGTCTGAGCCCCCGAGGAAGTTTGTCACATTGACGGTGAAGACATAATCTGTGTCAGCGTCCATTAAGTCACCATCCATGGAGAGCGAGGCAGAGGGGCTATTGGCTGGATGAAGAAAAGAAGTGAAAAAACCAGTAAATCTTCTTCTTCTTCATTCATTTTCATTTTCATGATGACTTGATGAATTGGGCCCAACTGTCCCTGTCGAGCATAGTGTTGGAAAGAGATGGACCGCTCAGACCATTTTCTAGCTCGATGGATGTTTTCAGAGTCATGTTGGGACGACCTTTTTGTCTTCAGGATTCCAGAGGAGAACTTGACTTAAGCTGGCTCATTATGTCGATAAACGTGACCGGCTAACCAAAGACGACGCTGTCTGATGGTTGTGGAAATAGGGGGAAGGGCACCAAACAGAACAGAGTTAGGGATTCAGAGTAAATGATTCACTCAAACTCCTTAGAATTTTAGCTAGAAATCTTCCTGAATCCTCCAAAATCCTTCACTGTGCAGGAAACCAATGGCTTATGCTTTGTATAAAAGGCGTGTGGGATTGTAAGTCAACACTCTTATAAGATGGAAGCAGGAGGTCGTGGGTTCGAGTCCCACCCGAGTGATTTTTTCCAATTTTCACTCGGGAGGTAACACACTGAGTATACAGTGTTTAAACGTCGGTGAAGGGCAAAACCTAATTTGAAATCAACACTCAGTCAAAAACCAAACTGCCAAAATATCATGAAATAACCCACTCGACTGTAAGTAAATAACAGTACAAAACACCCTGTGAAATCGTTGAGTCTGGTACGCTGTCATTCTCAAGAAAAAGAGGAATTTTGTATCAGTACTAACGATAGTTAGAACCTAACCATCACTGAGAACAAACAGTTTTGTCACATATAACATCCCTTAAAAGGCTGTGAGCTGGCTGTTGACGCCATACGCTCAGGTAAGCTAGGTATCAGTATGTAAATACTTTCCCTTCACAGAGCTGGCACTCGGGCACTTACATTTTTTCATGTTGCACCAATGGACATAAAACACTGAATAGCTCTTGTCTGCTGTAAATTAATAGCCCTTAAATCAGTCCATTTCATAAACTTGCAATTGCAAATGATCCTATATCATCCTTTAAACCTTCAAGGGCATCAAGCACAATGTAGAGTGACAGTGGTTGGGTTCTGTCAACGTGATGCTCACAACATCCAAGAGCTACAAACCTCCTGGTGAATTTGGAGGGACCTGGGTTGGGCTTGAAGGGAAATCCAAAATACCATCAGATGGGTTACGGAAACAGCAGATTTTCGATGGGCTACACGTATGAAAACACAAATGAGCTGCGACTAAATTTGACTTCCCGTAGTTAGTAAGTACCATCATCGGCAAAAATTATTTTGAATCAAAACCTTGAACTGAGGTCTCAATTAAAGCAAAAGCTTGACATTTTTAGAAGTTGCGAATCAGACTCAATACTTGTCACACTGTTTACTTGGGTCGTTTGGATGTTTGGGGGAAGTATTCATGACAGTGGTAATTATTTTTTTTACAGTCAGTCAAGTTTGACTATTTCCTCAAGACACAACAGGACCACCCTCTCAGAAATGCTGTTAAAAAAAAAAAAAACCAGGGAGGGTGATATTTACTGTTGATGTCATTCAGCGCGCTGTCTAAGGCGGACGTGCTGCCCGTGCTGGCCACTTCCCAATAGTAGGACATGTCGCGGCCACCACTCCCCCTTGACCGGCGGGCATCGATGCGGATATCCCCGCAGCTGGGCAGCTTAGGAGGACCGGTCACTATGGCCTCGGGCTGGACGGGGTTGTCTGGAGCACGGACGCTGAAGGACGTGGACTCCACGGAATGGGAGAAGTCTTGGCGGAAGGCCTTCAAGGCGTCAGGCTTGACTGCCATAGGAGTACCTGTGAAGTAGTACGAGTTACATATAATGGTCATTCGATAAATTTGGGGTCCACTTTTTTCCCACATCCTTATAAACATCTATGATTTCACTACCTTTGGCAGGGTTCTAGTAAACACACCTGGGAGAGTTAGGGTTAATGAACAATTTTCCTACCAATGCATAAACTATCAACCTCAAAAGGAATTTGTTACATGCAAGGCAAAAGGGACATTTTGAAGTTGGGACAAATTACATGTAGTCAGTTGGGATCTCACCGATTTCCACCAGATTGTTGCCCTTGCCGATGAGGATGAGCATGGCGGTCGGGTACAGCCACAGGCAGCGGGCGCCCACTCCTAACATCTCGACAGAATTGAACATCTGCCGGCACGAGCGAAGGTTCTCATAGTCCACCGGCATGTCAAAGGTCACCAGCAAGGTTGCCCCTGTAAAACGTAAAGGGTGTGACTTATTTAATTTTGTAAACGTTTAGCAAAACTATAAAGCATCATTTATAAGGAAATAAATGTTTGCTTGGAAGGTATTAAACACTATATTTAGGACTGGTTGGAGTCTCACTATTCCAGACTCCAACCAGTCTTAAACATAGAGTTTAATACCAACCAAGCACATATTTATTCCCATTCATAAATACCTTTTTCGGTAAAAAAAAAAAATATAAACTTTTCGGTCCAAAAGTAAAAAAAAGGAAAAAATTGCCAATGAGTTTGTTCAACATTTTTACTTTCTGTTTTTCAAAACACCTCTCTAGCTATATATGATGTGTCCAGCTTGAGGGTAAGATGTAACGATAATGCGCAGATGCAACTGTGGTGAGTGCATTGTGAATTTAGCACTATGAAATACTGACTCACTGGTAGTATTGCGTATGCCTAAGGAAGGATTGTGAACGCTCAACCAATATAAGGTGAAAATGCACTGGATTTCATAGAGTCCAAATTTCATGTGACACTGGAAAATTGTTTTAAGACCAGCCAGCCATGTCTTTATCATCCGTTTAAGACCGGCCACGTGACGGGCTCTCGACAAATGGGAATGGGCAAACTGTCTTAGGTATCTGTGTGCAACATTTAAACTTTCAAGCCACGTTACAAAGACTGCTGCCTCGGATCACTTGTTATGAAGCACTTTAAGATCAGTGCAGACTGTTCGTTACCCTCATCCATCTATACTCTTGGTCGGAGAGAGGCAATTGAGGTAAGGTGTCATGCCTAAGAACACAAGCACTGTGAACTCAGTCCACTGGGCCATGTGCTCAACATGGTTATTCATAGTCTCTCACCTGAATCAGAAAACTGGATGTTCTCCAAGGTTGGAGCCTGGAAGTAGGCATAGCCATTGACACTGTACTGGCCAAGAGCTGTGGCTCCATAATTGACTGACGGTACAACAATTCCAGAGCCGGAATCAAATGGCATGTCCAGGAGGAACGTCATGGTCTCGTCTGAGTCAAACGTACTGTATGACCTCAAGAAACCTGAACGGGGAAAAAAGGTAAAGACAGAGAAATGAGAACACCGTTACAAATTCCTTAGGGAATTCCAAATGATAAAGACAATCAAAATTTGTAGGACATTACGCTGAGAAGGGAATAAACACGTGCTTGGCCAGTTTTAAACAGTTTTTTAAAACCGCCTCAGGGGCCTAGACGCTGATAATGGCCCAAGCTGAAGGCGATGGACATGGCCAAGCACATATTTATTCCCATTCATAAATATCTTTGAGTCAAAAAGTCAAAACAAGTCAAAACTTATACATTTCCAATGATTTTGTTCAACCATTTTACTTCATGTTTTTTTAAACACCCTGCTGGCATTGTTATGGTATGTGCCTCTCGCGAGTAGTTGTAAACATCTCCTTATATGGAGACTGGCGTGTGCATGGTGTGTACTGGGTGATGTAGTGTGGGGGGGGGGGGGGCTGGTACCATCTTCCGAAATAGGGGGCGCTCTTCAAAACCAGCCATCATGCAAACTACGCATTATGTGCCCATTTTCAGGGTGCATTGTAAGGGTTTTGGGGCTTGGTTTTCATATTCCTCATTCATATCAGAACTCTCTATACCATTTTGGGAAATGGTTACTGAAAACAAATTTTCCGAAATTTTAGGGCAAGTTTTGTTTTCAACTCGAGGGGCCACGCCACATTTATACTCGAGGGGCACATTATGTTCGCAAGGGGCACTAAGGTAAATCGCCCCCCCCCCCCCCCCCCCCGCCCCACCCCCAGTTCCCCCGCCCCTGATTGCAATAGATTCATGACATGAATTGGGACTGGGTAATTTGTACATGACTTGTGAAAGAGTTGGATATTACCCTGGTATTGTGTCCGTAGATTTCTACATTTTTCAGGGGAAAAATAAACTTTCAGAAACAAAAGAAAAGAAATGGGCATGTACCATTGTCCAAGAACACAGAGAGCGTGGGCAGAACGTTCCATTCTGCCGAATATGCCCGCAAGAATGCCAATGCTCCTGTCGCAACGGTAACGGTGATTTCCACATTCTCGACGGATCGGTTAACAGTGAACGTTGTCGGGGATATACTGAGCACCTCAACATCTGCAATGCAAAACGCAATCGGCAATGATTAAACCATTCCCAATACAGTTATACACCAAGATTTAAACAGTCACAGATTTGAGTGCTGGTATGAGAAGAGCTGGTACAGTAGACCTGACCAAATGTGATTGGTTGCAACTGCTTGAGACTGACTGATTCTGACTTACTGATTGGTCAGTGACGATGACAGTGAAAGTAGCTCTTCTAATTCCAGGGTGATATTGAATATAGTTTCATATGTTAATATAGGATTTCGCTGAAAATCGGATACCCATTATTTTTTTCCCCATTTTTGTTAGCATTTAAATCCAACATTACAAACTTGCTTTTCATGGGACCTGTGCAACACTATGTAAAACGATGCTTTTCAACACTAGATAAGAAAAATGTAACTTGTTACAATAAATGTCTTGGTTTTTTCCCCCCAGAATAGACCATTTGCACTGCAGCCATCTTTGGGGTGTGTGTTTTTGTTCAACAAGGATGCGCATGAGTAGACCTCTTGTGAATTCATTGCTATAAAGTAACGTAACAAAACATGGCTCGAACATAACTTCTGAATACATGTACAATCGATCTATACTTTGTCAACCAAACCAAGTCAATATTAAAAGTATTATATCATTATACAGGGTGAGTGAAAAAGAAACGAAACCCAAGTTTTGGCACTGTTGTTTTGGTGAAGTTCTGCATGTAGCACTTTCAAAATCTAAGATGAAAGCCCAATCAATGAGCTTTCTTTTAGTACAAGAATGCTTTTAAAAACAACCACTGTTTTAAAGTTCTGTCCACTGATCACAAAATAAGGTGTGGGTTCTTTCAGAGAAAAGAAAAACAATTCACACTCATGGGCATTGCCAGGATGTTTTCTACAGGGGGGCAAATATTTCCCCCCAAAATCCCTATATTTTCCCGATTGATCTTTTTTTCGAGGGTGGGCAGGGACATCCCCCCCCCCACCCCATTAAATTTACAACAATCTGATTTTGCGCACCGTTTTCTTTCCCCCCCCCCCTTTTTTTTTTTTTTTTTGCTTGCGGGGGGGGGGGGGGGGGGGGGGGGAGGGGGGAGCAGGCAGGCCCAAGCGCCCCCCCCCCCCCCCCCTCTGACTGACGGTACAACAATTTGGGTGTCAGTTTTTGGTTTTTTTACTCACCCTGTATTGATGTCCTAAGGTTATGATCTCACAAGCTCTTGTGAAATTTTAACGAGAATCAACTGTTCAAGTATGACTTAGAGGTGAAAACTCAAAAAATTTTACCTTGGAACACTCGGAGGGTCGAGGTGATCTCCGAAGGCAGGTCAGAGTTGCGACGAACACTCACTTCATAGTCACCTGTGACAGATACGGTAAATTAATTGGTAAAATGTTAAAGTTGGTACGATTTTATTTTCAATAGCTCCTTAGAATCACTGAGGGAGGCAACTGTTGATTTGAAAGTTCATCAAAACTTGTTCTACTTATTTGTGCTGCCACAATGTCCACATATAGCTCATTCAATAATCGGTAATTGTTGAATTCATGACTGTAACAAGTAAGGATGTTAAGATTAGGGCGATTTCCAAAACTACCTTTAAAAAAGTTTATAATTCCAATTCCAAAATGACTTGAATTGTCTTGTGCGCACGAGATGACTTATCAAATCATAAAGTGCGCACTTACTGTAATAGATTGATTATTTCGTGTGCACTTGATAGATCAATTATCTCATGGGCATGTGATAGATCAGTATTATCTCATGGGGACATGATAAATCAATTATCTTGTGCACACATGATAGATCACTTATCTCCTGTGCACTTGACAGATCAATTATCTCATGCGCACTTGACAGATCAATTATCTCCTGCGCAATTGACAGATCAATTATCTCCTGTGCACTTGACAGATCAATTATCTCATGCGCATGTGATAGATCAGTAATATCTCGTGCACACATGATATATCGATTATCTCCTGTGCACTTGACAGATCAATTATCTCATGCGCACCTGATAGATCACTTATCTCTTGTGCACTTGATCAGATCAATTAATTATCTCTTGTGCACTTGATCAGATCAATTATTCCTTGTGCACTTGATACAATTACAGTGCGCACTTGATACATCAATTATCTCATTGCAAGTATCTTTTGCAAACATGATAGCTCAATTACCTCGTGTGTAAAAAATATTTGGAAGACATGTCCCCCCCCCCCCCCCCCCCCCCCCCCCCCCCCCATCGCCACCCATGTTTTGCCTTTTTTGCACGACCATCATAGTTATTGGCAATCAGAATTCAAGTTGTTCATTAAAACTTTCCCGAAGTTATCAAGCAAAGCGATCATTGGTTCCAAAGCAATATATCTTGAATTTGAACCTCTTTGTTTACGTTACCTGGAGTCAACACGGGGACTTCGCACCACAGCAGTGTGGTGTCGATTCGAGCGGCAGCGCCCTCTGTTGTCTGGCCACTGCGCGTGAAGAGACAGGTCAATGAAGCGCCAGCGGTGAATCCCGCTCCGGCCACGCGGACCTGGCAAAAGAAAATTGGTAAAAAAAAAGCCAAAAGCGGTTAATATTTTGTAATTGTGATTTCTAGAATCTGATTTGGGTAATCTTAAGTTACTTTTATTTTAACTATGTTTTCGTTTTTAATTAAATTTCTAGATTTACTGATTGACGGTGACGGGCGGTGGTATTTCAGCGCATGAAAAAAACAAAGACATGGATGTTCTCGAAGTCCATACGAAATTCTCGAATTGGCCATTTTTGTAGAGTTCCCTAAATGTATTTCATTAATTGTTAACTGTTGAAATGGGATGGCGCCATACTTTTTATACAGGCACAATGCAGCCTTATTTTACCGTCATTTTTTTTTTTTTTTTTTTAATATGGCTTTAAACATTAGGGAATGTTTAATTACAAATGTTAAATTATTCATTGAATCAGACTGGAATATATTATACACTAACTTGCTTTCATTTCTCTTCGCAAGTTCCAAAAATTAAGATTGTACATCACTTTCAATTCAATATGGCCGACTCGTGATTCGTGAATGCCCGTAGCATACATTTACTTCTTCGGACTCTGACGAATAAATTGGGGGGAAAACGGATATGTGCAGATTTCTCTCCTAATGGCGTCCCTGCATCTCGCAGATTTCTTTCGGTAAACCTTTTTTTCCTCCCAAAGTACAAGGTAGTTAGATTTGTATTTCCTTTCTTGTTTCATAACTTTGAGGGGAAAAAAATGAAACTCTGTATTGCGTCCGTCTCTTTCCGTGCACTTTTACCTCGAAAAATAGATCACGTTTATTAAATTGCTATATACTTAAGTTTTTCACTTTTGAACATGACATTTTGTTTTTTTAGTTTTGGGACATTACTTCGCAAATTTCGAATTACTTGCAAATTGAACGACACAAGTTCAGCAGTAAGTATCTTTTTACGTGCGCAAAATAATAAACCAACCGAAAATAAAAGCGTGTTTTGAGAGGGAATTGCTTTCCCGTTAAAATAATTCACTGAAAATGCGTCTGGAGGAAAACAAAATCGATTACGTTGAAGAGCACGGTTAGAAAATCTACCAAGATTAAAGCAAAATTTGAATGGGATCTACATGCATGCGATATGCAAAAATCGGTCTGAGTTCTAAATGTTTTTGTCCAAATAGGATGTTACGCCTGGGACAAGGTTCATTATAGACAAACTGAACAAAAGACAGCCCCTCCCCTAGTTGTTCTAACTTCTGTAGCCGTATAACGTTATAAAGTTGTATCTTTGACAGAAAACGGGTCCAGAAACGAGTTTTGTTTGTTTCTGTAGCATCGGTTAAAAAGTTTCGCGCGCGGTGATCAAGCATAATGGAGCTATAAAAAGAAAAGAACTGTGTATATTCGAATTTATACAGACCGTCTTATTTACATCAAATAGCCATGCCCCTTTTTACTACGTAGTGACTAAGATGTTAGTGAGAGAAAGTTATATATAAAAAAAAATTATGCGAGGGCGCTACACAACAATGCAACATACGCTCTTGATCACTGACGTCTTGAGCCAAGACTATGCCGGTCCCCAGAATTTTGACCAAAACTTTTTTTTCCTTTGGTAGCAATAGTACACAAAGATTTTGTCCAATGTGCTCCGCACAGGCTGGTCCCAAATCGATCTCTGATCGATTTTTGTCATGGTGAGACGCGCGTAAAACCGCATGCAAGCTGCCGGGCACCATGGACACCACCAACGCGAAGGTGGATTGTTCTGATGGCAACTTTTCCGCTCCAGCATGCTTGAAAACTGAACAGACCTTGAGCGGGTATTATGTAAGGACAATGTATCATCAATGGGCGATGCTTTGGTCCAAATTTCTTGGTATTAAGCGTCACTTGTGTTATGGAATGTTAACAACAAAAGTGTTTCTTTTTTGGCCGTCTCATCTATATCTTCACAACCGCGTTGGCAACTATGCGCCCATGCGGGCATCGGTCACCAATGTTCCAATTTCAGCTTTAAGTTTCCAGTGCAACATGCGCAATCACAAAGTTATTTTTTGCATAATAACAATAATCTACGGTTGGTTTTGTTACGGTGTAACCCATTGGATTATTGACAGAAAGAAGGGGTAATTCTAAAAGCTAAGATTACGCAGTCAACCACGAAAGCACGACCCATGGTCATCCTAAACATCACGATTAGCATGGGAGCATATGGAGGGGAAAAAACAACCATTGGGCCCGAACGATCAAAAGTTTTCAGTCCAACGGTTATTAATTTCAGTACGTTTATATACATTAGGTTTACGAAAACAATCACCGAAGTTAACTGTGATTTCTCTATTCTTTACAAAATCATTGTAACCTATAAACCATTTACCACTAGTCTTAAATGTCTGTATAGCTGAAGTAACCTGAAACAAATTAACCCTCAACACAGAAGATTCATAGGCCCTAGTAAAAGTAAAATTTTAATAAAATTAGGAAGCGTAAGAGCTTTTTTTAGGCTGAAGCTGGTACAGAAATGCCTTATAAAAACAACTATATCATAAGCTGAGAAATTCTAATGATCTGACGCAATATCTAATGAGAAGAATGAAGGACAGATATTATTTTTGGGAAACGAAGTTGTGTGCCATTAATAATGAGATGTTGAAAACAATGGAGACAATTGGCGCACTGTACAGTCGCTCTACAACGGCAAGGACAAAATCACCTATCAACAATTGAAGGCAATTCAACGACCCAATCTTAAGAATACAATGAATGGTTCTTAGGTTTTAAACTCGAGCGTAATTGTAACAAGTGAAATAGCCTAGTGGTTTGATCGCTGACCCACATGTCGAGAATCGGTGGTTCGAGTCCAAAATGAATGTTCGAGTCTAAAATGAGTATGTCAACAGCTTCTAGCAGCAGGCTATATAGTTTTTAACGTACTCACCCTTGTCTCGACGTTTGGGACGATATTTGGTAGCACCACCCCCACAGCAACGCAATTAGTCCCATCCCCTCCACACACTCCACACGCATCGTATTCAATACCACTGAAACAAACACAATAATACATTTAATAAACAAACACTCAAGTCATTATCAAATTAAGTTTAAGTTCTCAAGTCATAATAGTGGAGCAGATAGATTGATGTTTACCCACTGAGGACACTGAAAGGTGAAAGTATAAGATCAGTTCCAACCACATTATCCATGATTAACTTCTCAGTACCTCAGTGACTAAAACATCGCAAACTGCCAAGATTATGAGTCTAGAAAAGCTCACAACAATACGACGAAAGTTCAATTTTGAACCACATAAAATCCTGAAAATCATCTACTTTGTTAACAAAATGTTAAGACTAACTTAATGTTTCTTGCATTTAATGCTTCTGCCCTATTAATTCTTATTAATGCATACCTAAGTTTATTTTGGCTTAAAAGAAAAGAAAAGTGCGGATATCAGCCCTCAAATGTTTGCCTTTGTTTGGCACTATACACTGCAACAAAAATCCTGGTAAATCTGGGACCTATTTGGTCATTCACTGTAAACAATAACGCTTTTTTTCAGGTCAAATTGACACTGTTGCTAAGGTTTCTGGGTCAAAATGATCCGGAAAATGAGCGGGAAAGTGTCATGATGGCCCGAAAATGTCAGTTTTGACCCCGGAAAAGATTTAGGCCAAATAAAACTCGGTGGATTCCGGATCAATCTGACCATCATCCATGATTTTGACCGAGGACGGTTTAGAGCATTGTGATTAAATACCTTGCGGGGACACCATCGCATCCGGCACACGAGTTCACATCGGCAACAGAGCTGCTCTCGCACTGGCCGCAGACGTTGACGCCTTCCGTCTCGTCGAGCCCCGAGCTGCCACCCCAGCACGCCCCGCAATCATTTTCCTGTGCCCTGGGGAAGCCCGGCCGGACGCAGCTCCCCGTGCAGTCCTTGTACTTGCTGCCCCCGTCGTACACCACGCCTTGCTTGGCCGGCGGCTCGCAGTAGTTGCAGGTGTCGGCCACCCAACCGCCGTCGCAGACACCGCGGCAGTCCAGCCGGCCGTCGTTAGCATCGCGACTCTGGCCAGTTGAGCCACCTAGGAAGGGAAATCGAGGAGAAAAACACACAATTTTAAATTTTAATTTATGAAGAAATGCATTAAACACACACAAATTAAAACCTAACAGCGGTGGATACAGGGGGGGGGGGGCTGCGGAGGGCGCCCGTCTCCAGCAGTTATCTAACTTTTATCAAATAAGGCCGATTTTTTACTTGTGAGAACACTTAAATTCCGTGCCCTGCTACAACCTCTCTGCCAACATTCATGTACCACGATTTGTAAGGCTCAGTCTTATATCATAATATTAGAAATACATTAGGAGAAATCTAAAGAAAAAAATACGTAAGATGAAAAACGAATTAGGCCTACATGTTGTTTTCAAAGGTCAAATTGTGACATTATTTCAAAAAAATTTGAGGAAAAAACAAATCCTGTGCGCAATGCAGGGGATATTCTGTAGGCCTACACAGTCGACTCAAATTTTAAGGTATGTATATTGTGTTTCGGTTTCTCAACGGTGTTGTACATTGCAGGCAAACTATTAATTCCTTGTGGTAGTTTTACTCTGCATTAGGGAAAAGATCCCCGGGCGTCTCATAACCATTTTATCATGAAGTGATATACAGTGATATAAGACTTGTGGAACATACCGACGCATTCACCACATCGATCGACGACTGCGGTGCCGTCACAGGTTCCGTAGCAGTCCCAGGTCTCGCTGTAACCGCGTGCCTTGCGGCACAGGCCGCACCGGTCCATGCCGAAGGTGACGGCCCGTCCCGTGCGGCCACCTACGCACTCCGTACAGTTGTTGACAAAGGCGTTGCCGTTACAGGTGCCGGCACAGTCAACGATGCCACGACATCCTGACAACACAAAGTAATAATTGAGACGGGGGGGGGGGGGGTAAATTTCAGAAAAAAAGGTCGAATTGAAGCTGTTCATAAAACATTGAAACTCAAACCTTTAGCTTTTGATATATTGTGGACACAAAGAGGGCGCCACTTAGTTTGGGTAAAGAGCAGAAACAAGAACAATAGGTCGAAATGACGGCCTCCTATTGTGTCAACAAAATCTCAAAAAGGCTGTACATGTACATGTACTGTTATCCCCAACGTGACAACTTTGACAACAATTATTGCTGTAATGTTAGATGTAATCTTCAAATTAGGTTATGCCCCTCAAATATGTAATCTTTGTTTGAATGATAATCAATATTTAAATTGATCCTTTTTGAACTGCATGTAACACTCAAAAGTACATGAATAACACTAAAAATAACGACTCACATGTACAAAATACATACCTACTTCTTGGCCAGCAGTATAAGCTAATACTATCCTGGTGCACACCGCCCTGGGCGTTCTCTCGCCAGTCGCCCAGTAGACTGGATCAGCCCATGGTACTTCATCAACATCGACGGAAAAACTATCGGTATCCTCCAACTCAGGAAGCAACACGTCCAGCATAGTCTTAATGCCTACGGTGCACCTGTCGACGTTCGAGACCAGACTGAACAACCCATCAATGACACGATCGTAAAACCGTGAGGCTTCTCCTGCCTCATCTGCTTCCAGCAAAGCATCGCAGATGCGGTCGATGCTACCTATGCCCGTGACCACACCCAGGATGGGGTCCAGGAGATCGTACTCGATGTGCGGTCTGGGAGCGTCTCGAAGTCTCTCGTCGTAATCGGAGCTCGACTCGTCATAAAAAGGACCCCTGCGCTGCCAATAGGCCTTAATCTGATCCTTATTGCGACAAAAGGGCAGCGCACTTTCCGTGCTGATGAAGGGAATGACTTCCTGCAGCATCGTGATTATTAAATCGATGAAACTGAAGTCAGCATTTAGAAGTGACTCGATGCCGGGACAGATGCCCTCCTGCTCGAAGCTCTCCCAACCAAGTACGTCCTGGACAATCCGAAGTACTGCATCACCGTCTAGCTCTGCCATGCCAGAGGTTGGATAATGCTCTCCATAGAAGTAGGGAACGGCGACAACTTCACATTTCTGTCGTACTGCCTTAATATCCGTTGCTCTGAGAGCGCCGCACAAATCATTGATCTCATTAGAATCAAGACCGGTGAGCTCTTCAACCAAAGGAACCAGATTGTCACACACGACGGCCATGCCCTCGATTACGGTTTCACTGTTCCATATGGTTCCCAGTGAGGAAAGTACAATCTTAAGCGGAAGACCATCCATAAGGAATCCTGGTGGCAGCTCTGACGAGCCAGCGGACTCGGCGTTCAAAGCCGCATCCAGTAAGCTTGACCATTCAACTGGCGGCCCGTCACCCTGAGTGGCATCAACCAGTGCAACGCAGAGCGAATCAGCGTCTGCGAATCCAGTCCATTCGGGGATCGAGAGCTGTGGATCAAAGTCGGTCAGAGTTGAGACGAATTCCCCACAGGTTTCTTCGTCAGTCGCCACTAACTCCACGTTCTCTTTCATGATGTCTAATAAGCCTCTTATGTGGTCAATTTTGATGTTCCAGAACTCCCAGTCGTCGTTGATATCGTACATGCTAGTGCAAAAGGCAGATGGTGCATCGAACCCACCCACATACGTTAACAGAGACAGCGTATAGTCATTGATGCTCTTTGGTTCGGGCTGGTCATTTCCAAAGTTGTTGACGAAATCGGATGATCTGTTGTTTCTGATAACATCGCATGGTTCGTAAATCAATGAGTTAATAGCTCTGAGGACCACTCTCTCAAGTCCCCGATAAATATCGTCTTCGACCTGATTCGGGGTTTTGACGATTTCCTCCCCGAAGAACTTGCACAAATCAAAGGGGTTCCAATCTAATTCGAACTCCCCCAACACAGGCCAACGGACTCCATCCTTGAACCAGTACCATGTCTCATTCTGTTGACGGTCCCACTCCTCCAAGTACCAATCGAGGTAAAACACCTCCCAGTACGCATCCCAGTCGAAAAGTTCCACAAGACCATAATAGCCCCAGTAACTACACACTTCCCTGACATCATCGTACTGCCGATTGGATGCGCTCTCGCACATCTCATTCAGGTCTGGACCGCGTATTTCTGGTGACAGGGAATCGCACAGCACAGTAAATGCCTCCCCGGCGTTCTGAGCATTGTACATGCGGCCGAAAATCTGAATAAACTGATCTGGTCTGAGGTAGTTGAATGCAGCGTAGGGTCCCCAGAAGGACGTGTCGAACACCGAATACCAGCGCAACAGCATATCGTTAGTGTTGTTGGCGCCAAGAGTCAGATTAAACATTGGCGGTCCCTCAGAATAATTGCCGGGTGAAGACGAATTGAACATTTGTCCGAGTTCCAAAATGTAGTCAACGATGTCTTGTTTGCCAACAAAAATACCACCTGTGGAATTGTCGCCGAATGCGCCTACCAACATGCTGCACAATTCCGCCGTCATATTGGAGGCTGACGCTTCATCATCATCATCATCAACAAGTACGGGGAAAATGACATCTCCCGCCACCCGATTGCATTCGTCTTCATTGTAAGCGAGATTAATCAAGTAATTTGTCACGTTCGTTATCAACTCTTCGTTGGCCTGACTAAAGTCAGACTGATTGACGGACACGTGTTCGCAGAGTGCATGCGAGCTGTTGTAACCACTGATCAAAGCGAGTATTACGTCCACATCAATATCACCAAAATCATCCGAGGAGCCCCAGGAATCCGAGGATCCCAAGGAATCGGAATATCCCGAGGAATCCGAGGATTCCGTGGAATTGAAGGATCCCAAGGAATCGGAAGATCCCGTGGAATTGAAGGATCCCAAGGATCTCGAGGAATCCCAATCTTCACGGGAACCATTGTAGAAACCGCAGCGTGGGGACCACATCTCTAAGGCGACGCTGACCACCAAACGAATCACAGTATCAGTGATATCTTTACCTGACCGGCTATCACCATCGATAAAACTAGCGAGTCCATTACAGTAGCCTTCACTTTCAAGCAAATTGTCCCCAAATTCAAGAGACAGCTTCATTGATAGTTCACGGAAGAAAAAATCACCGGCTCTATTTCCTCGTCCTTCTTCCTCGTTATGGCCATCGTCATGGCCATCATCATGGCCACCATCATCGTCCCTGGTGTTTCTCCTTTTCCGTCTCCCGTCCCCTCCGTCCCCATCTTCCTCATCGTCACCAAAGAGTTCAGTGATGAGACCGTCACAGAACTCTTCGATGCCGGTGACAGGCTGGTTGTTGCCTAACGCCGTACCCACTAGGCCACACACCTCGTCTACCTCGACCGGGAGCTCGATGCCGATCCTGTTTCGGTTATCGCAGACGACGCCGACGGACTGCAGGATCGTGTCGGCTCGGGCGGCATCGCCGAAGACATTCACAGCATCATCGAACGTGAAATCATTAATAATGACTCCGGGAGCTTGGAAAAGATCAGCGAAAATGTTGTCATCGTCGTCATCCCAATCGTCACAGTCGTCGCAGCCACCATCACCAGGGTCATCACTACTGTCATCACTACCGTCATCACTACCGTCATCACTACTGTCATCACCACCATCATCACTACCGTCATCACTACCGTCATCACCACCGTCATCACTACCGTCATCACCATCATGATCTCCACCATTTCCTCCTTCCTCTTCGTCATCTTCCTCCCCAAATCGCTCGTCATGTTCATCCCGCCACTCGCCGCCACCGAACGGATCCTCGATGCCCCCATCAGCGGCAAACTTGTCCAGGTCGAAGCCGGCCTCCCCTGGCGCCGGCTGCCGGTTGAGAGACCCTTCGCTCTCCCAATCATCAGGTCGCTCTTGTCCGGTTGAAGTGTGCAAAAGCACAAGCGTGAACAGGACGAGGAGCATACTCCAGCTCGGACCCATGCTGCTCAGAACTCTTGGACAAGTGCTTTGTCGAGATTTCCTTTCCCGCAGCAGCTATATCCTATGACCATATCCTGTCTTTCTTTGTATCCTATCCAAAAATTTGCTCTTGTCTGAGGAGCAAGCAATACAACTCCGTGCTGATCACGCAGTTGCCCAGCTCCAAAGTAACCTGGATAAAATGTTCATGGAGTAAAACTTTGTGCGCGTAAACAAAATCGATACAGCCTTCGTGACTGCTGGCGGGAGCTTTGTCCCATTATGGATCTATGATTGTCATGAATTATTCACACGACCCACTTCTCTTATCCATCTTACGAATCCACGGACACGCTGCATCCAGAGTCTAGTATAAAGCTGACATGGCTTAATTGACGAGGATCAATTGCCAAAGACGCAAATAAAGCCCAGTCGTTTTTGTTTGGTCTCGTTACCAAGACTCGTGCTGCTGATCAAACGTTATGAAAGCATCAATGATTTTGCCCATTTGTGTTACGGGATGGTTTTTGAGGCAAATCGTGCGTCCGTGAAGGACAGGACGAGGATTTGCACTCTGGATAAACGGGTCTGGCTGTTGTCTGGTGAAATTTCTATTGCCAAATCAATAATAAAATATAGTCTTGATAAAATGATGTCTGTTGGCCGGCCAACAGAAACCCACTGGGGTGTATCCCCACGCACATAATGTGGATCATAACTGAAGGACTTTTTCAACAGCTCAAAACAAAAACATATTATAGGCGCTATTGGTAATAGGTATTATGTAATTTTGCTATTAAAGGAACAGGAAGGTTAATAGGTCAAAATAAATAATAATGGCACACTGGGAAACGTGGTAAATTGCAAGTTGGAATAGCTAATTTCTCGTTTCTGTTTGTTTTGGCAATCTTAAATCATTACAGGATGGTAAACAAGCCGGGCTTTATAATTTGATAATTTGAGAAACTCATAATCTCCAAAATACATTGTGCAGTTATTCATCCCACAGAAATTGAGAAGTTCACGAGTTTTGAAAAGCCCCTTCCCGCTCGGCATATTTGTGACCTTTCGCTCAAAGATCGTGCGTTCATAAACTATTACATTTTCGGTATAAAGCTGAAAGTTTGTTTATATTTTCATTCGCAGCGATCGAAAGCTATAAGTTGATATCTCATTGCAGCATTGTTCAGAATGCTAGATTTACATGGACCGCGTGTAATAATGTGATCAAAACAGAATATTCTATGCAAACTCGGCCAGGCTGTGCTCTCTACACAGTGCCTGTGAAACTAAGGCAGAAGAGAATCGAACCCTTATTGGCTGCAGGAACCGTTGGCTGTGGGTAGCATAGCCCCTACTGGGAATTTGTCGAAACAAGATAATAGTGGGGTAACACCATGTGGAAAGAAATCTCTTCTTGGAAGAAGTGTGGTTCTGAAAAGAACCGGTTGGTTGAGTGTATAAGTATAACTGAACGTTTCGGACAGTGTGCTTTGTCCGTCCTCAGGAGGGTGAGTCCGTCCTGAGCGGACGGACAGAGCACACTGTCCGAAACGTCGAGTAATGCACTCAACCAACCGGTTCTTTTCAGAACCACACTTCTTCCCAGAAGAGATTTTTTTTCCACATGGTGTTCCCCGGATATTTCCTCTATTTCATCTCATCCGCCATGCACAGCTTCAAGTCATATATAAGATAACAAGCTGATTTACCCGATCATAGATCGGGTATAGGGCGTAGTGTTGGGGATGAAAATGTGGGCAGTTAAATGTAAATGGGGGATCATTGAGGAGACATGCAGTTATCGAAAAACAATGTTTGTGGTGTGATCTGAGGCAATTTCTGACCACTGAAACCAATCTGAGCAAAAGATCATCTTTTAAACATCATTTTCGAGCTTGGGGTAATTGAATCATCTACACGGTATTCTGAGCAATGGAATCATTATAGTAGGCTACAATTTTTATTCGGGGAAGAAAAAGTGGGGGGGGGGGACCAAACAATGTCCCCGCTTTAAAATGTGGGGGGGGGGGGTCCCCCTCTTGTTTTCCCCACCGATTTACGCACATGATAATTATGTACCCTGATAACTGTCTGTAAATGTTCCCGTTGGTCTGTTGAATTGGCATTTTGTGAGGCAGTCGCATTGCCGGGAGAACGTAGTGAAAAGGTTACCGTAGTACACAGGCGAAGGCTGATTATACAGTTTTGACAATAAATCATAATGTAATCAAACGTGAAGTTGTCATTTGCAATAGAAATGTTGAGTGTTAGTTACCATAAAATTACAAACGGTGTGAATGATGGAGGAAGGTCATAATTAAGTTTCAGTATTGGACTCTTCAACAAACGTAAACTTGAACTTCTTACAATTTGCGAGACCGTCTGCGAGGAAAAAGTCGATTCAACTTTTATTCAAGTTGGTCAACCATCTAAGAGCAAGTTTTATTCGGCCTCCGAGAAATGTTCGCTCCTGAAAGGTTCCGAGACCGCGGTCTCCCGCGACGCCAAAATGGCTCCACGTCCATAGAAAAATACGGAGAATTTCTTCCGCCAAATCAAGCACTTCAGGTCGTCCTAATTTTTCCGTACGGACCGGCGATCCGTTTTGTCGATTTTTTTGTGACTGCGTTTCAAGATCGCAATATTTGAAGCAATGCATCGACCCTTCGTTGATCCCAAACAGGCCCCCGAAATTATAACGCGACACTGACTGTGACGTGCAGCGAACTCACAACGCTCAGCCTTGGTGGAAGCATAGAGCTAGTGGAAGCGTGGAGCTGTAAACACAATATAGAAGCAACAGCACTCTATCACGCGACGTCACATGCTTGCGCTTCAAATAGCGAGCAGCGTAGACTCAACCTCGTTTCCAGGGTGTGGAGCAGGCTGCAGTACGCGTTGCCAGTGACGGTTTTACGCATAGCCCGGAAGTACTACGCAGTGTAGACTTTCGATTGGTCAGACCGCGGCAAGGCATACTAATGTGTATAGTCCTTCTGGGTATTCGTTGCACTCGGCGCAGGGGCGGCAAGCGAAGCATATGAAAGAATAGGGACACTTGGTGGCCACGCACCATGGAGAAAAAATATTTTGCCAAGGTCACCCCATACTACCATTTGGTGAACACTTCTGCAGAACGGCTGAGTAGAACACGTAAACGAAACCCCTACGTTGAAGCCGCTGACCTCGCACAGTCTAGACTCGCAGAAAAGCCAGCACGGGGGGCGGCCAGGCAGTCAACGTGAAAGCGCACACGACGGCAAATTCCTGCGCAAAACGCAGTCACGAAAAATCGACGAAACGGATCGCCGGTCCGTACGGGAAAATTAGGACGACACGAAGTGTCCGACCCGGCGGAAGACACCCTCCGCATTTTTCCACGGACGTGGAGCGATTTTGGCGCCGCGGGAGCCCGCGGTCTCGGATCCTTTCAGGAGCAAACATCGTCTCGGGGGCGAGTAAACTTCTCTCTTATATATATAGATAGTAAAAAAAAAACACTGACTCGTTACAGTAACTGGAAAACAGGTGATAGCCTATGCCTTTGCAGCCTACCTCTACCACTGTTTGAATTTATCGAGGATAAGGACATCCCTTCCTCACTTTGGGTCAGATTGAAATATGAGGAAATGTGCTCTTGCCGTTCACGATAATAAGATGCTCTTGCCGTTCAAGTCATATATATAAGATAATAGTCATCAAAAAAATATTTTAAAAAACACCACTGACTCGTTACAGTTACTGTAAAACAGGCGATAGCCTATGCCTTTGCAGCCTACCGTACATCTACCACTGTTTGAATTTATCGAGGATAAGGACATCCCTTCCTCACTTTGGGTCAGATTGAAATGTGAGGAAATGTGCTCTTGCCTTTCAAGATAAGAAATCCATTTCTTGTTGATTCTGACTTCCACTGAACTTGCTGAAGTTCTCAGTCGACAGAATGCGTGTATGTACAACGAAACGTGACAAATCTAAGTTGCAGATCCGCGCGAAAAGGATGAGGAGTTAAAAACGTGTTGAATGAAGAAACATCAGTCTCTAAATGTCTCGAAAGGCTCTCCAGGTCGGAATTGCAAGAGAAAGCATGTACTTTCCATAACTCTGCAGGTTGGGCAACCAGAAAATTTAAATGGCGATGTTCTTTTTATTATTATTATTATTATTTTGCAACGAACTTTTCTAGTCACTGACTACAACGCTCACGAGTCAATTGTTAAAAGGAATGGTTCTTGGACTTGACTTCTCTTAAAATAAATCGTTCAAAGACATTGACAAAATGGGGAACCGTCAACATATCAAGGGCGGATCCAGAACACAATTTTTTGGGGGCCAACAAAAATTTTGGTCCCCCCAAAAAGTGGGTCAAAAAATTACGGCGTGGGGTTCGGGGCCCGCTTAAGGGCCCCGAAAATTTTTTGGATTCTAGATGCTCTGTGGTGCAATCTGAGGCAATTTCTTACCACTTTAACCAATGTTTTTTTGAGGAAAAGATGGTGGTGTACTCATTGCCTGCCTTTATTGCGATGTCACATAAAAAAAATTAAAAAATTCGGGTTTTTTTGGGGGGGGGGGGGCATGGCCCCATTTGCCCCCCCCCCCCCCGGATCCGCCCTTGCAACATATGGGCTGGATAGCTCACATGGTAGAGCGCGGGAGCAGCAGTCCGGAGGTCGCAGATCCAAACCCCGCTCCAGTCAAATGCACATAACTTTTTGGACTTCATGTAAGAGAGACGGGTCTGTCAATAATTATCCGATGGCCAGTGTTAGTAGATTGTAACTTTTCCAAATCGTCCAAAAAGTTGGTAGAGACGTGCTTTTTCAAAATCTCGATTTTCTTTTCCGAACAAAATTTAAAGTATAATGTCCTGCAACAAATAATGTGCTTGTTCATATTTGCAGGCCTTTGTACACATTTAAAAACTGGTGCGCCTCGGTTCAGAAATTGTGCCCACTATCCGGAACGAATTACGAGCGTCCCGCTCTTAATTCAAAAGTTGACATTATTGAATTGATCACTTGTCGTGGGCTGATTTTTTTTTTTTTAAATGTCTCATTTGAAAGCTCATAACTAATAGAAGGAGACTAATTTAATTTAATGTAATGCAAGAAAATTATCAATTCAAATTGAAAACTATTTTCCAGGTGCCATACCCAACAAGCACGTATACACCAAATAAACAATAACATATGCAAACTGAATCTGTCAGCAAGCCTGCATTTAAGACTGATTTCTGTCTTAAAGAGCAGCTCCAAATATTATGTGCAACCTTTGTATCGATTTTCTCCCGAGGAATGCATTTGCGTTTTATAAGAGGGTGGTTTGTACCATCATGGTAGAAATACCTCCATGGTACCATGGTACGGACTGGTACCGCACTTGCAACAAGTCTCTTGCTGATGCCATACGGCAGGTGCCATCCACGATCGATTTCAGGGGAGCGCCTATTTGTTGCGAATTCTATAAACAACAAAACCTCCATATGAAATGTTTTGCAACAGAATCGGCACAATAGCAACCGCTTTGTGTGCTGGCGAGAAGAAACCAGTCGTGTCATAATGGAGACCATCGATTTTTCCGTCCTGTCCCATCCCCAAAAGTTTTCTTGTGTGGTGTTATTTGATTGGTGATGAAGTACATGCAGTGGTTTTGCATCCATCTTCTGACAAGATTTTTAAAAAATGTTCGGGGAAATTTGTACCCTCCGAGACATCTCTCATTATGGTTAGCGATCGCAAATCCGATCCATTTAAATTTTATGTAAAAAGGTTGGATAAAACACTGTTGGGCAGTGTAATTTACCCAGCATTGGTATGAAGTGAACTCATATTGGGTTGAGTTGGGTAAAAACTATCAAACTATTGGGAAGAATTTGCCCAAGAGAGTAGGCATTTGACAGTTCGACCAGCATTGGTTGAATTATCAACCCATTTAACCCAACTTTTTCACAGTGAACGAAGAACATTAACTTGTGCTCCGAGTTCTGCTGGCAGCTATTTTCTCCTTAAACATTTTTATACAATAAAGTCACTCAATACTGTTCGCAACAAGTGGGTGATGTTGTTTCAGTACAGTACATTCTAAAAGACATAATTCTAAAGATTACCACGCTACTTGAACCAACTTCATCCAGGTGAAATATAAACCTCTAGTGACGATGGCAATTCGTTACGCGGAAGGCAATAAATGGTTTATATAAAGTTACGTATTTTTATCCGAAGAATGTTGTCATTGCGAAAGCTAACGAATTTTTTTCCTTTCTGCACTAAACCCTTGTATAATCACAATATATTTATTTAAAAAGTATACTGCACATTACACAACAATTTGGATTATGTTATTTCGCACCATGTGTCTGTATGCTACAACATACTATGAATAGGCCTTTAACACAAACAATAAATTGTTTTATCCAATTTGCAAAATTGACAATATTCCATGTTTCTGTGATTATTAAAATGATACATTCTTATCAGTTGAACAGCCACATTAAGTTTTCCATTTTTCCAATATCAGTTGTGAAAACCATAATTTTCGGATAGCCTGAAGAAACAATCGTGATAGTAAAGTCGGCTATTTGAAAACTCGAAACTCGTTGAGGAAAAAGAGAAGGTAGTTTGGCCCCATGATGATTGGACTCCTCCATTTACAGACTGCGTTACGAGGTTTACTTCTTTTATTCATTTTTATATCAATTTTAATGAGAGGTCTGTTCAGTGGTGCGAGCCAGTGACGCTCTCGCCACACCAAGAACGCCTTACTATTCTTGATTACATAACGTGGAGAAATTATATGCTGATTCACCATGGGCGCTCAACCGCATTGTTGTTTAAAGGTATAGTCCATCAGTAATTTGTGCATTTGCTCAACATCTAAAGAAGGGTGCTGAACAACTAACCTGATGAAGTTTCAGCTCAGCTTCAGCTGTATATTTCGAGAAGAACAACATTCTAGGATCTCGATTTCAAATCAAAAGTTGCTGAATCATGTTTTGAATTGGGCCTGAATTCAGCGTCCGAGACACGTTCAAGTCCGGTTCATACTCGGCGCAAAAGCGAACGCGAACGCGAATTTGTGACGTCAGGGGGAGTTTTCGCACTGCGAATTCGCAAAAGTTGAACACATTTCGACTCCAGCGAACTTCGCGAAGCGAATGCTTCTTGACGACGAATTCGCTTCGCATGCGCATTCGCATGAAGTATGAACCGGGCTTCTTTTGATACCAAAAACATGAAATTCCGACCGTGGGTTACCTCGTAGCGAAAAATGCTCGGTGCTGCGCGCCGTGAAAACTGAATTTCCCCATTATGTATAGTGTACACAAAGCAGAATTACCATTGGTGCATTATTATTATGAACAATAATTAATTAGCCGATAATTTCAAAATCCTTTAACCTATAGTCATGAAGTTTCTTGGATATGTTCATAATAAGTCGTTCTATGCATGCATAAGTTTCATATCTTTGGTCACTCACTGGCCGAGATCTGGGGGGGGGGGCGGAATTACTTGTCGCCGGCCGATTATTTGTCGTGCGAAGTCTCATTGGAAAGCTCATAACTATTGTAATGCTAGAAATTATCAATTCAATTTGAAAATCTATTTTTCAATTTGCCGCACCCAAAAAGCACTTAGGCCCACACACCAACTTCAAGGATCATGAATCAACACAATTATATAAAAACGCAAAGTAAGGAAATTAAGGCCTGGAAATTTGTTTGCCTTATGATATAAAAAATATGTGAATGAATGGTCACACGGTGAATCAATTATACTTTAGTTTAAGCCTTGTAATGACAGAGCGTTATCATGCAGAATGGGGGCGCTCTCATTAACGGTCATAATGCGTCTCTGAAAGGGTACGCGCGTTGGTTGTAAACCTGTTGGGCCCAGTACTTCATGAACTGCCTGTCCAATTGTAGCCTTGGTCAATGCTCCCGTCGTTATTCGTCCCGTATGCGGTCAATCGTCGGCATATATCCTCACGCGCTATGCACATGCATGTAAAAATACAGCGCGAACAGCGACCTCATGCGGCCACTATTTTTTTATGCAAATCAGTTGGGGACGATCGAGAGCCTTGGTTCAATCGTCGGCAAAAGCTTATGTTTTTCTTTACTTTGCGCTAGATTTCCAGCGCACGACCTCGTATGCGAATACAGATAATGTAGGCGGGGCTAATATGTGGAGTGTCCAATCACACCTTGGTAAATCCGGACGTCATCAAATTATTTGCAGCTATTCCGTCTTTCGCGGACGTGACAGGAACCACAGTTTTTGTGCATTGGTGCCGTGTTCAGAGACACACAATGTGTACGTGTATGGATTATGTACGGGTGCCACGTTTCACTATGCAAGTTTCCACGCAACGATCGACCAATAAGAAAACGACATTTAAGGTCAGCTAAGGCTTTTAACATAATGAGCACCACCCCCAAAACCTCACATGGACGATTGAACAAAGGCGCTAGATCGGGTCCAACTGATTTGCATAAAAATAGTGGCCGCGTGAGGTTGCTGTTCGCGCTGTATTTTTAATGCACTGCATGCATAGACATATGACTGCATGCATAGCGCTAGCGAAGATATCGTTTACCGCGCTCGCTACGGCCGGATGAATAACAACTAGCGCCTTGACCAAGGCTAGTCCAATTGCAACCTGACCTGAAATATTGTGTGGTTACTGCTCGATTTTTTTTCGTGTGGAAATGCAGGGCGCAGCGAAGGCATGGGGGGGGGGGCTAATGCAAGCGGTGCGGATCCAAAGGAGTGGTTGGGAGGCTACCTGTATCCACCCACGACTAACCAAAGTTATGATCTTGGTTCATTACTCCAGGCCTTTGGTCTCTTAATGCCTTGACTGCAACGCCCCTCCCCCCCCTCCCCCCGCCCGGCCCACTCCCCCTGGCAAAATCTTGGACTTCAACTGGCTCCCCAGCCACCTTTGGAAAAAAATAGCTGGGCCAAAATGTAAAGTTTTATTGGGACTCCTCAATAAATCACAATTCATCGATAGGTTAGATCAAGTCGACTGCTGGAAAACATCTGACAATAGATTATTTGAAGCGGCACATTATTTTTTGCAATTTCCGCTTCAATTACGAACTATTCCGTTTTTTTTTTTTTTTTGCCGTATTGGCGGGGAGTCCACCCCGCCCCCTTTTGACATTCCAATGTAGAAATAGCGCACGATGTATTTAATCCCATTCCCCTTAAAAAAAAATAGACAAGCCCTCTTGCCTCCCCCCAACCGGTTCAGGATCCACCCTTGTTCTGGAACCACCAGACGGAAAAAAAAACAATGAAAACGAATATGATAGGTAGTACAAACACAACCACAATGAATAACCGTTTCAAAAATATTTGAGAATATAGACACATACTAGTCACACATTGCACGGTGCGCCCTCACTTAGGGCAGTTTGGTGATATAATTCAGTGAGAATGGAAGTATAAAGTGTCTAATATAATAATGCGCATCACAGAGGTACAAAAACTCGCCCTCCGTCAGTTGCAAGCCGGGGTCTATCGCAGTACAAAAACACCCTGCAGACTTGTGGCGTGTCTAGGCTAGGCGCGGCGAGTAACTACGAATCCCATCATGCATCTGAATTTGCCAAAATGGCGACGACCACGAACCAGCAAGGTCACCAAAGTGACGTGGGTGTTTTTGCCTCCGAAGTTGACGAAATGAAGGAAAGAATCACCGATAAACTGCAGCGTCGACAGGATGAGAGGGTAGCCAAACTCGAGGAAATAAAAACTCAGCGAGAATCAGCCACTGGGAAGCAGGAGAATGCCGATTATTTCAGGAGTAACTTCACGAAGGAGAAGGCCGCCATTGAAAATCGCCTGGCCGCGGTCAGTAATAACGTTGACAAGTCGGCACTTACTGACTTATTTGACGAGCTCGTCACTGATGTCCAGAAGCTGCTGAAGTTTGTCACCGAGTCAACGCTTTCCCTGACCTCCTACCAGATTCGTAAATTCCAGGATGAGGTTTACAGTCTTTATGCTGACGTTGAAGCGAAACGAAATGAACTCATCCCAAAGAAGAAGTTTGCCTTCAAGGGCAGACAGAAAAAGTCAGACAAACCAAAACAAGTTGACAAACCCAAAGCTGTTGTGGAAGAGGTGGATGGTCCAGCAAAGATCCCCAAAGACTTGCTGAAATTTCAGTGTGGTTTTGTTGACCTGTCTGATTCTGACATGACACTAAAATCTGATGAGATTCAAGCCAAAGATGTTGGGCTGACCAGCCTCAATTCATGCACCGTGAAGCTGTTTGGATCACCAAATGCCATACACATGAATAATCTGAAAAACTGTAAGGTGTTTTCAGGTCCCGTGCCCGGCTCCATATTTGTTGATAATTGCCAAGACTGCACCATTGTAGTGTCTTGTCAGCAACTACGCGTACACCACACCACTGCGACCCAATTCTATCTTCACGTCACTAGCCGTGCGATTATTGAGGACACGTCTGGTGTTGGCTTTGCCCCATACAACTGGAGCTACGAGGGTCAGGAAGAAGACTTCCAGACAAGTCAGCTTGATCGTAGCCGTAACAGCTGGGATGACGTGGATGACTTCAACTGGCTAGCCAGCGATAAAGCCTCGCCTAATTGGAGCATCATACCCCCTGAAAAACGAGTTGCTTCTTGGTAGTTAAATTGAAAATCTAACAAATTGCCAAAAATGGAAAATTGTCTTAATTGTTTAAATTAACCCTAACTCCTTCAGTCCTTCTGATTTGAGGCGTGCGATCACACACCAACACCATTGCACACCTAAAAGCTTCCCGAGAAGTGTGAATAATTACACGCCTGAATTTCCCTGGACCACAGATCACACACCTAGAAAAGTAGAAGACCACACACCTAGAAAAAACACACACCTAGAAAAATCCAGGTGTGCCTTTTTCCACACGCCTGTGATTTTCAAATCAGAAGGACTGCTTCTTAGGCCAAAAAATAAATAGTTCTGCTTCTGGTTACCTACCTACTCTGACAGCCCTGCCTATCCTAATTTTTTTATGGGAAAAATGAAGAAAAAAACACCTAATACCATCAATTAGGCCAAATAAAAAAAAAATCATGTTTAGCGTCCCCGCCAACTTCCTTTTTGGAGGCCGCCTCCTTTTTTTTTTAACAAAAAAATGATAAATTTGAAACGGTGACATCATTTTGGCATCTTTGTCTGTTGCATCTAGCCCATATAAAGCTGGTATGTCATTTCCTGAGTCCAGGTGGCGGTCATTTAAAAAAAAAGCTGGCGGCCATCTTGAAAAACTGGTCGTTTTGGAATATGGGTCGGGCGACCATTTTGGGGAGAAAAAAGGGCCTCCTCCCTTTTTTTTCTCAAAAAGGCAGGATGCTAAACATGTTTCCTTTTTTTATTTGGCCTTACTACTTTTTACCCTTGACAGATTACACGCGAATGCGTCCATATGATCGTACACAAACAAATTTGAACCCCCCCCCAAAAAAATCCCCACCTACCTACCCTATTTTTGAACACCATGTAATCGGAAGCAGACATTTTTTTTTTTGGCCTTGGGCATTTTGGCTAGGATGTAACCTAATTCCTACAAAATCTTCCAATTTCCTCCGGTGTAAAAATAGCATCCAGCCTTAATCCTGCAAAATCCTCCATCTGCCTCCATTTAAAAATAGCGTACACCCTCAATCCTGCAAAATCCTCTGATAACCCTAACCCACAAATGGCTGTTTGGGGGTCCAGTACCAAATACCACAGAATACAACATGTACATGTGCTGTGCACACTTGTATGGAAAGAAATTCATACTACAGGTTACTCCACAGTAGTATTTTGTAGCATTGGGGCGGTTAGGGTTAATATTTCTTGAATGTGGTCCTTGCAGGGGTGACCACTGCCTCAATCCTGCAAAATCCTCCGGCAATCACTGTCAATATGTTGAGGCAGAGCCAGTGGCATCCCAGAGCAGTGCGGAGGATTTTAAGCATGTTATAGGCCTAAAGTTATGCTCGGCTGAACATAAACAATTCAAGGTTCGACCTAAGACCTTGACACAGGGCATCCTCTGAAATCAGCCACACTCTTTTGCCATATGGCCTCAATCTTGCAAAATCCCTCAATTTTGCAAATAGGATTTTGGAGGATTTGGGAAGGTTAGGGTTAAAGAAAAAAAAGGTATAAGGACCTGCATATGGTACATGGCTACATTAAGAATCTGTATGAATGATATTGTGATATATTACTGATGTCCAAAATTTAGACAAGTAATTAAAAAGTACAGCAAATAATTTTCAACCTTATAAACAATTATATGAAATACTTTATGGAAAGGATGTAGTATCCAAACGCCACTACTTTGGTTATGTACAAAGTCTATGGAGAGTCGAGTGCATTTTCAAAGTATTTTCCGGACAAAATTGGAAATGTTTCTCAGTTCCAGATTCAGGTCTATTCAACATTTTTGCAGTGACTGACCTTCATTAAGATGATGATGAAAAGGTGGCATCAGAATACAACATCCGTTCCTAATTTATGAGTTGTAATTCTATTTTTTTATAAAATGGTTGGCTCATTGCGAAGATTGAATGATGAGCACCTCTATATTTACCTTATGGAAGTACTATTATCAGGGTTGGGAGTCCATGAACTTAAATACATTAACAGGTTTATCCAAGGTTTTGTGGTGGGAAAATTAAAGTGGAATATGATATGTTTTGGTGTTTTTTTGTAATCTGCTGTATAGCAAAGAGAAGAGCAACAAGTACTCATATGACATCTATTAATTGTTGTGCACTGATTTTTATGTGGAAACTGTTTGAAGTTTAGTATTAATGCTGAAGTGTGAGTTACACTCCCAATATTTAATAAAAAAAAAATAAAAAAAAAAATTGCAAATTCAATATAAAATATCTAGAGTACATATTGATCGTAAAATATATTAGTGTTTAATGTTTTGTTGGTTGAAAAATATTTGGATTTTTAGTCTTACAAAGGTACACTCGATATGAAATAAAGAATGTATAATCAAAATATTCTACCCAAAGAGCAAATTAACAAGTTGAAATTTAGCGGCGTGATAACCTCAATCTTGGTGACATTTTGGTCTAAATACTTCTCATTGTGACCAAAATAAAACGTTGAGTTCATGTCTAATAAAATAAGTAATGTGGATAGAAATTGAAAATTTTAATTATACAGTAGTTTGTTATAATATTTGTTGACTGTTGTAATGTAAATATTTTGACATGACTGCAAAATACGTTTCTTTTTTTTTCTGTTTTTGGTATTTACATCAATCGATAATTAAAAGAAAAATTTATAAATTATAATTATAATGAAGATCTTTGGCGTTGACTTTCAACATTTTTAGTGTGTGTGTGTCGGTTTTTTTTGCCTTGCTCTTTCCTTTGAGGAAAATTACACCAATTGAATGCTTTTCTATAAAACTCACATTTCGATACTGTACAGCCTAGAATATGAGGGATTGGGGGGGGGGGGGAGATAGTACCAAGCAGTGAGTGGCGTATTCAAAGGGAGGTGGCATGGAGCCATACCCCTCCCCAGAAAGTTTCTTCTTTTTTTTCAATAATTGTTTTACAGCTGCGTCTAACAACGAAGAGCACGCCACCTATTGGCTGATGGTGTCCAATATGCATAAACCTCCAATAATGAGATGGTTTTCATCCCCGGCCCCCACCGTCAGCAACATCCTGCATACGCTACTGCCTACTGGTGCCAAGTGCGATAACAATATAAAAACAGGGTTTACTTTGAGAATTACTGGCCCACATATAAATTTAGACAAATAACGAGTAATTCAAATAGTCGGGGTTGTTATATTTCAAGCAATGATTTAAATCATCTAAATCAATTGGGAAAATTATGCACACGTTGCCAATTTATCAGTTCTTTTCATTTTAGGACCATTTTTTTTCAAAATTAAGAGAATATCTGCACATTAAAACGTATTTAAACTGAAATGTAAAAAAAAAGATAAGCTAAATATTGATCGGTGGGGGCTTTGCCAATCAATTGTCAATTCTCTTTCACAGAAATTATCCATTTCCTCAAGATACCACCGGTACTACAAAGTGTTACTGGCTGGTAAATTGATAGTCTGGTTCCCAGACCAAAAGATTCTGACTATTCCCGATGAATCTTAGGTCCGGTAGCCTCCGGTAATACATTGTACATGTATTACAATTTACGTCACGTGACTAAAACGGGAGGAATTCCTCCTTTTTCCGAAAATTTCCGAAGTTTGCCGAATTCGTTTCGTCGACAATCGGATAGCGCCCGAGTATTTCCGAATATAATATAGGTTTAATTAACTACTAATTGCCTATTAATTTCTTTTTTTAAATGATTTGATAATTAATATTCATTGTTTTCATTTAGAAAACTTCAACGACGATTTTGGGCATATATACTCGGATCATATGGGCGAACTTTTTGCTGCGTCATGTACAATTTTGAATTTGACGACCGATACTGAGATTTGCCAAAACTCGGTCTTCATTCGGCTCCGCCTGCTAACACATTACTCGACCAAGCCCAGTCTAATGTGGCTTTCTTAGCTCAAATTCTGATGGGAGGCAGGCTGGCTCTAGACAACAGACGCACATACATTGGGGATAGCCTGACTGTTTATCAAGGACAAACCACTGCACTCCCACCTGTTTTATTAGTGGGTGTTTTCGAATCCCTGTTCTTGACAACACGCGTGTAACACGAGAACGTATTCTCGAGCTGGTTGTTACGAACGCGCGGGTGCATGTCGCATCGATATAAAGCAATGCAAAATGGCCGACAATCGTCTGAATTTGTTCTTAGGCCTATTCCAAATGAACGAGGACGACAAGGGCGGATCCAGGGGGGGGGGCCAAAGGGGGCCATGGCCCCCCCCCCCAAAAAAAAACGAAACCAATTTTTTTTTTTTTAATGTGACATCGCAATAAAGGCAGGCAATGAGTACACCACCATCTTTTCCTCAAAAAAACATTGGTTAAAGTGGTCAGAAATTGCCTCAGATCGCACCACAGAGCATCTAGAATCCAAAAAATTTTCGGGGCCCTTAAGCGGGCCCCGAACCCCACGCCATAATTTTTTTGACACACTTTTTTGGGGGACCAAATTTTTTTTGGCCCCTCCCAAAATTGTGTTCCGGATCCGCCCTTGGAGGACGACTGTTGCAAAACCGGACATGCGGGGATGAAATTGCAGACCTGCACTATAATGGTATTCTTATTCCAATCATTAGGGTATTAGCAAAAAAAAACCCACACAAAACAATTTACGAATCTGCACAGTCCGCCATTTTGTTCAAGCTGCACCTCGCCGAACCCCCCATCAACCGGGGAGTGAAAAAATCGATCCGCGAACGCCCTCTCGGGTCTGTTCGTCACGTTCGAGACCGCTGTTCTCGTGTCGGGTTAACCCGAGTGTTGTCAAGAACAGGGATTCAAAAACGCCCACAATGTGCGAACATAAGGTCGTCAACTGATTAAATAGCCATTATCTTAGTAGGGGGCTCATGAATACGAACCTGGGAATCCCGGGTTCGCGAAAGCCACATTAGACTGGGCTTGGTCCAGTAATGAGTGCTATTTGGGTGCCTAGTTTTGAAGATTCCAGCTGGTCAACATTAGTCAATGTTATCTTACAGAAACATCAAACTGTATTATCATAACTGTATGATATTACGGAGCAAGTGATTAAGCTGAAATTCGGAATATACTTATAGGTGTTCAACTGCTCGTGAAATAACAACTTGGAGAAATTCCTAGAAATTGATATAAATACATAGATTTGGGGAAGACTTGAAGGTCAGCTTTACCAGTAACCAGCATTGACGTTTCGGCATCGATGACGGCGATTTTTTCACTGACATGAAGCTTAGAATTTCTTCTTCCGTTATAATTTAATATGTCAACCATACTGAGCATATTTTCGAAGAAACACAACGTTCAAAAGGCCGGTTTTAGGGGGGGGGGGTTTCACGAATTTTACCGCTCTGTTACAGCGTGTTAGTACGTAATCGGAATAGCTTTGCCGCTTGACAACCGGCACGCTTTCGCGTACGCAACCACACGGATGCACCGAAGCTACGTTGCCAGAGCTTAAAAAAACATATTTGGTGTCCTATCAGGGCCACCATAGATAAACATCGTTCACTGACATGACCTGGTGAGTCGTAAAGGCAAGTCGCGTGCTCTATGCAATATTGAGTCGATAGTTTGATCACAATGGGCTTGCCTATAGAACTGTGAACAATTACTGGGAAATTCACCATGGAAAATCAACCAACTTTGGCTGCATGGGACTATGTCCCTATCGCACTGTATTTCATTTTGGTACTCGCCGTTGGACTTCTGGTAAGTAATAATTTGGATTTTTGGTCAATTAATGTAGGCTTAGGCCTACAACATTTACCCCTAAAACTATGGGTATGACTCGTAACATACCAATAGGTAGGCATATCAACCCGAACACGCTGAATACTCCACGAATATTCATGGGCGTCGCCAGGATTTTTTTTCTAGAGGAAGGCAGAACATATTTTTGCAAAAAAATGCCTGTATTTCTCAACACATTCTCGATTTATCAGTTTTAGAGGGGGGCAGGGACATTCGCCCCCCCCCCCCACAACCCATTAAATTTATACCAATATGACGTCGCGCCTCTTTTTGCGAATATTATATAATCAACCTGCCAGCATGTGGCCAGTGAGTTTTGGAGCGACCGTAGCCTTGACCAAGGCGTTGGGCTTATCGATTCGCCGATAAAAAAAAAATCCCTAATCAACTTGGCAAGGCATTGCGTGCACATATCGATGCCCGTACGCTGCTAGTGAGAAAGTAACTTGTACCATACAGCGATGCTTTCACGTACGCACGTACACACACGTACTCGTACAACAGCCATGCACACACAGTACATGCATGAGCTAGTCCGCGTAACCCAACTGGACGAAAAAAGTAAAGAAAGACATTAAACCCGGAAGTTGCAGACCCAACAAGGCGGTCGTTCGACAGGCCACGCGGCGCGTATATCCCCCACACGTACGTACGTCCACCCACACGCAGAACACAGTAGGCCTACATTTACTGCCTTATTACACCATGCGTACAGTCCGTACTCACGTGTGTGTGTGCTTGCTGGTTGTGTTAGCCGTTCGTACGGACAAGGGTCGTACACGCACGTAGCCGCGTTGATTGTGGGTGCAGGGCCCGATTATCTCCCTTCGACAAAAAGCCGAGAGACCGCATTGAACAAGGCTAGAGCGACCGCAGTATTTGTACCCCAAGACCTATGCCCAGTACTTCTTTACATACTTACTCCTAGAACTATGATGCTCCGCTCCCATAGTTCTAGGAGTATTACAATACTCACGTTCATATCTCTAAGAAGTGTAAGGGTGTGAGAATGTACATGAAACTGTCTGCTTTAATCGTACATTGCAATATTTGGGCGTGGCTAACCGGGAGCCTTACATTGTCTAGTTTCCAGACCTATTTACTTACATTCACTGACATTCTTGAGTCTGACATTCTTGAGCCTGACATTCTTGAGTCTGAAATGTCGATCGTTAAAGGGAATATACAACATTTGCAAACATCGAAAAATAGAACTACAAAGTTTTTACGAAATAGCTTACTAGGATGTTGGTAAATGACAGTCGAAAGCATCCTGTAAAATTATGGCACCTGGTGTGAAGTCATTTTAAAGAAAATGGTATTTTTGTATAAATTTCCAACGGTGGTCGGCCGACCACCGTTGGAAAAACCTAACTATTTTTCAACTTCTCCAAATTCACCATTTTTTTCAGTCCAAATTTTATTTGCTATTGGTTACATGTTTATGAACGGGTGCAGGCCAGGTGGACTGGTTCCCTTACCCTACAATTTTCCGGCATCTATAAATTGATCAATTTTATCTTTAGTGGAGTCAGGGAACCAGACTACTCCACCATTTGTGTTTTTCTTGGTTTTTCCAGCATTTTCGAACACAAAACTTCAAACATGTCAGTGTAACAATATTTGATCTATTATAGTAACCCCTCAAATAGTTCATTTCTGAAAAATTACAGCAAAGGCCAATGATGTACATTCCCTTTAAGGGAATATACAACATTTGCAAACATAAAAAAAAAAAATTATTATGAAATACCTTACTTAAGTGTTACTGAATGACAGTCTAAAGTATTCTGTAAAATCACGGCACCTGGTGTGCTGTCATTTTCAAGAAAAGTGGTATTTTTGTATCAATTTCCAACGCTGGTCGGCCGACCAGCGTTGGAAAAACCTGACTGTTTTCCAACTACTTCCCCCGTTTTACAAAATTCTCAGTCTACATGTTGTTCGCAGTTGGTTACACGTCTGGGAACGGGTGCAAGCCAGTTAGCTATTTTCCTGACCTTACAATTCTCAATTACAAGTCAGTGAAACAATATATTTGTATAAAATATTACCCCCAAATCCATCCATTTCTGAAAATTACAGCATAAACAATGTTGTACATGTATATTCATCGAAACCGGTGAACACGGTGTGTAAAAAATGAAGGTATGCTTTCACGGTAATCCCGCACATACCTATACTCTATTATTGAATAACAAGCTATTTACCCGATCATAGATCGGGTAGGGCGTAGTGTTGGGGATGAAAATGTGGGGAGTTAAAATAAAATGGGGGATATAGTTGGGAGACATGCAGTTATAGTAAAGCAATTTCTGAGGTGTGATCTGAGGCAATTTCTGACCACTACTAAAACCAATTTGAGCAGAATTTAAAGTTTTGAGTTTGGAGTAATTTTAGAATCAGTCGCATTTGTGAGGGAGTCGCATTTGGAAAACGTAGTGAAAAGGTTACTGTAGTACACAGGCGAAGGCTGATTGTACAGTTTTGATAATAAATCATAATGCAATAAAACGTGAAGGTGTCATTTGAAATGAAAATGTTGAGTGTTACCATAAAATTACAAACGGTCTGAATCATGGAGGAAGGTCATAATTAAGTTTCAGTATTGGACTCTTCAACAAACGTAAACTTGAACTTCTAACAATTTGCGAGACCGTCTGCGAGGAAAAAGTCGGTAACTTTTATTGAAGTTGGTACAACCATCTATATAAGAGCAAGTTTTACTCGGCCTCCGAGAAATGTTTGCTCCTGAAAGGATCCGAGACCGCGGCTTCACGTCCGTGGAAAAATGTGGGTGTCTTCCGCTGGGTCGGACACTTTTTCGTCGATTTTTTTTGTGACTGCGTTTAAGATCGCGAGTTTGAAGCAATGCATCGATCCTTCGTTGACCCCAAACATATGGAACGCCAAAGAGGCATTTAATGTGATCATCGAATCGGTGATACACTTTTGCAATCGGTGATGCATATTCACGATCGGTGATGGACTTTCGCGATCTGTGATGGACTTTTACTGGTGATGCATATTCACGATCGGTGATGGACTTTCGCGATCGGTGATGGACTTTTACTGGTGATGCATATTCACGATCGGTGATGGACGTTCGTGATCGGTGATGGATTTTTACTGGTGATGCATATTCACGATCGGTGATGGACTTTCGCGATCGGTGATGGACTTTTACTGGTGATGCATATTCACGATCGGTGGTGGACTTTCGCAATCGGTGATGGACTTTTACGGGACGGTGATGCATATTCACGATCGGTGATGGACTTTCGCGACCGGTGATCAACTTTGCAATCGGTGATGGACTTTGCAATCGGTGATGGACTTTTGCGACCGATGATCAACGACCCATCACCGATTGCAAAATCCCGATCACCGATCGCCAAAGTGCATCAGTTATTGAACGTGCATACCGCTGTGGCTTAGGGTCTCTCGTGTTGCCCCTGACGGTGATATTTGTTTACGGTGTTTTAATGTTTGAAAGTGTCTTTCTCATATGTGAACTGCATTTTTTTTTTAAATTAATGTGCGTAAAATGTTTGTTGTTAGTGTATGCCGCTGTGGCTTTGGTGCTGCCCATATTGCAACCGGTAAAACACTCCTCTGTGGATGTGGCATAAATACAATGATTTGTTTTGATCCAATAAATGGTAAAACTTTTTTGCATCTGATGATTGATGGGTGGGCCATCGGAGACAGCATATGGCGGGGTTATTGGGGGGGGGGGCCTGACCAGGCATCCAGGGGGCACAGGAATGCAATCACATCATCATCATCATCATCATAAATCTATCTAATAGCCAATCTTGGTATAGATATGTGGGGGCCTCTGGTCACTTAAGCACACTTAAGCGAGCACATGATGGACAGTACACAGAGCACTTTCCTTGCAAATGTTTTTCCACCACCACCCCTTACATCCGCCAGTTATAGTGCTCCAAGGTTTCAAGAGACTATATAAATTACAAGGATTAAAATGTTCGCAATTTTTAGGATGCAGACAGCCTGCTCCTCTTATTTATGGGGCAAATGAAACCATTCAATCCCTTGTTTTTCTATTTTGTTAGGCTAATTTGATACTTGCCGTAGCGATCTCACTGTGTCACGAGGCTATGATGTTTTCCTGACTGAATGTACATCTGTGGGAAGCTATTTTTTTGTTATTCAAGTTTAATTTGCATTTGTTGTCATTTATTACCATATATTTCTCATTTTCATATAGGCCTACATGTATTTCATTTATTGTCAAGCATAATTATTGTGTATGCCGTGGCTTTGAGTTTCTTGTGTTGCCCACTACTGGTCGGGCCTGGTGTTGCCCCTAAATTGTGTTAATACGGTTATATGTTTTATAATTATGTCCGTTCTCACTTGCGAACTCCATTTTTTGTAATGTCCGTGAAATGTTTGTAGTTAGTGTATGCCGCTGTGGATTTGGGCCTTTGGTGTTGCCCATATTAACATAACCATAACAATTAACAATTAAAACGGTATATGCTATATCACAGGTGGTATCCAGAATAAAACACTCCTCTGTGGATGTAGCATGAACAGAATGATTTGTTTTATAATAGGCCTATACCCTTTGGGAGACACTTTAGCGTCATACACTTAGAGGCAAAATATTATCGTCGCAAATAGACTCGATTGCTCGTGGTCGAATTATTAAAAAATTACCCGGCGAAATAAGGTGAAATTGGAGTTACGGGTCATTAAAGTTGGGGGGGGGGGGAAATGTGTGCACTAGTTTATGGGAATGTTCCCCAAATAGCCAATTATGGGTTATTATAAGTTATTATTTTTTATCATTAGTATTAACATTATTATTATTATTTGGGTTGATTATCACCATCAAGCAGCTCAGAAGCTGAATTGCACAGTGATTTACAGTAAAAATTGAAATGAATTAAAAATAAACACATTTCACGAGAAATCGAAACACATAC